CTACTTTCATTATTTCAATGCAATGCGGTAATTCTAGCTTGATGCATATACTATAAATTTGAGTTTTGGTTGTAAAATCAACTATAAAAAAAACGGTACGCATATTTGTTGATTGATAATAATGTTTAGTTGCGATAGAATTTTGTTTTTGAGAAATTGATGGGCAGAAAACATAAAGAAAAACAATGGTCCACAGAAAACTGCTGATTGAGCAACACGAAGCCAGCTAAACCCCAGGGATGACATCAGGTGTGTTGTTAGGTTGCTTTTTCGTTTCCACTTATCTTTCATTCCATTGTAATTATACCAAGACAGAAAACATAATAAATATATATAAATTTAAAAGCAAGAACACAAATCAGTATTAAAGGCACCGGACATGCAGCCGATAGTGGATGCGAGGCTACACGATGGTACAACTTGGGATTTTGTGAACGCGGCTATCGCTCACGAAAACATGTAAATATTTTAATAAAAAACACCCCAAAAAAATGGTAACATGATCAAATATCATTGTAAACCGATTTACTAGCTATTACATAATGATTCACTCTCAGTATGTTATTGCATGTTAAACTGGCATACACACTCGACAGCAAGACTCTTATACTATACTAAAAAAAAACTACATGGACACGCAAGATAGCATATGCATGTGTTTCATAAACACATCTTTTATATTAAATGATCGCTTAAATAGGTACCTGTGTTATATGTTAGATAATACCAATTGATGCATATGCTTCCCTTTTTCAACCCTAAATATTCTTTGCTGATAAATCGACTGAGGCTAATTCAGTTACTGAAATAAGAGTTTTATCATATGACCGTTCAGTGAGAAAGTATTTCGGTCATCATATGGTTATTTTATTGTATAAATATCGTGATTAATTCATAAAAGTGTTATACCTGAAAGAAGAGATGTATACATCAAGTTGTTTCAGTGCACTTTCCGAGCAAGCCGTGTTACGTCATCTAAACTGTTTTTAGAAACATTGTTTTTTTGGTCTTTTTTTATCACTGCATGTATGAGACAGTACGTGGTATTGGAATAAAGTATGAAATGGAAGCATTCAGTTTCGCAAGGAACCTTAAATGTAAATCCACTGTATTTGCAGTTATCTGGGATTCTGGGATTATCTTCTTTTTTGCCTATTATATCGCGTTGATATAAGAGGTTCTGGATGGTTGGTCCTTCATTTCTGTATTCTTTTATTTTTTAGGCCATTTTTTTCTATTCTTTATACTTTTTATCCATTGTTCTCTATTCTTTACATTTTAGCACCTGTTCATTCTCTAATCTTTATTTTTTTGGTCCATTTTTCTCTATTTATATTTTTGCCTTTTATTCTCTATTCTGTAAACCCCCATCAACACCCTCATATAACTGCCAAACTGCGGTCAAAATATACGCTTATGATCCATTCAAGCATCCTGAGTGGTGCGCTACCTAACCAATAATAAAAAATTGGGACAAAAATCATTGAAATATAGTCCTGCATAAAGCTGTTATACTTCCAAACTTCAACAAATTTTTAAAATTCGAATTCCGAGCTTCAGCTGCTGTTACTGTCATCCATTGATAATCACTATATCATTATGGCTTTTTTTTTTTTTTAATAAAATGAGATTTAATTTTGTTGTATACGTCGATGGGACGGTAATCGACGAAAAAAGGCTACGAAATCTAGAGGCCAACATATAAGTCGTCAAATTCGTGACTCTACAAATTTGTGATAGATTGTATGCGTGATGGCTCTAAAATAACACCAGGCCAACGTTTTCATGTTTTTTTTTTAAGAATTAATTTGTCAATATATGCAAAGCTCCTGGATATTTATTTTGGTATTTATTTTCTAATAGTTTCAACAACATACACGCAGAACGATGCACTTTATCAGTACAGACAACAAACTTTAACACAAGCTAATTAAACCAAAAATCTAGAGATTAATATGATAAAGGCTAACAACTCCCTTCTTGAAGTAAGGAAATTTTCCCTTAGTTCACGGTCTGAAATGTCGTCATAACAGCAGTTCATCTCTAGCATTTCTATGACTAATAAGTAAATTTGCTACCCGAAAAAAATCTAGATCATTTAAAATGATTGCTTTGTACGTCCGTCCGTCCGCGTGTCCGAAACAAATGGGTTCCGATTGATAACTTGAGTTTCCCTTGCATGATTGGAATGGAACTTATACAAATGGAAGATTTATAGTTTACGTTATGGGAAGAAGCCTATTGATTTTAGGGTCAAAAGGTTAATGGTCAAGTCTTTATCACTCAAAATTGTACAAAATCGAAAAAAATGTTTTCGGATGGTAATTTGTGTTTCTCTTGTCGATTGGAATGCAACTTAAATATATATTGAAGACGCCTATGGATCTTGGGATTAATTGGTTAAAAGTCAAGTTTTACTGTTACTACAAATAGAAAAATTGAGGAAAATTGCTTCCGGATGGTAATTTAACTTGGCTTTATCTGGCTTGGAACTTGCACAGATAAAATATGTCGGGAAGGAGAAAAAGCTTATTGATCTTGGGGTCGATAGGTCAAAGATCAAGGTCACTGTTACTGAAAATAGTAAAACATTGAAAAATGGTTTCCGGATGGTAACTTGAGTTTACTTACCATGGTTGATTGGAATGCAACTTATGTAGATGAAAAATAAAGGGAAGGGGAAGAAGTATTAAAGATGAATTAGGTCAATAAGCCAAAGGTCAAGGTTAATGTTACAAAAGAGAAATAAAAAAAAAATGTTTTCCCGATGGTAACTTGAGTTTCTCATGATTGGTTAGAATGAAACTGATACAGACGAAAGGAGAAGATTCATATTAATTTCATGGTCAATAACTAAAAGCTCAAGGTTATTGGTACTTAAAAGGGAAAAATCATGAAGAAAATTAACATGTCTAACCATCTGACATGTATAGTAAAGCGCTATATTAACCAATATATATTGATTAACGGATTTTAAGTTGCAGGTCACATGATATTGTCAACACTGAGGTTGTGAGTTCGAACCCCGCACGTTGCAGGTGCTTTCGACTTCAATCTTAATCAACTAAAAACTTAATTAAAATTGTCAGTTTTCATGTGGAACGTCGGGCACCCCGGTTTCCCCCAGCAATAAAAACTGACCGCCACGAAATAACCAATAGTGTTGAAAATGGCGTTTAACATCAATCGACCAATCAATTACCGCGATTAAGAAATTTAATCTTCATCGATAATTTTTGACACGTGTGGAGCATTTTGATATATCAAACAAAATTTACACTGTTTAATGAGGGTCTGGATGGGGTTTACAAAATAGTTTCATTGCTGTTAAAGGGGCACTAGCTGTCAAATTAATGTTCGCCGATTTGACTCAAATTCTCATATTTGATTTATAACCATGTAAAACATTTATCCAAATCATAAAAAAATCTAAAATAAACAATTTACAGGGCATGGGCTCGATAAAATGTAGCTTAGTTTTGTGTGTATTTTAGTCTTGACGCCATCTAATTAACTATCGAGTTGACCTCCGAAGACCTCCGATGGTCATATAAGCGATATAAACATAAATATAGATATAAATAGAAAGCGAAAGCGAACTCGAGCAATTGGATTTGTCTAGGTCTGTTTAATTTCATATTATAGATTAGAAATATATGTTAATCATCGTTTTTACCTGTATAAGAATGATTTTTGTGGATCGAATCAGTCAATCAAAGGATTTACCTTTGTTTCACTTTCAATGTTGACATTCTTTTCCTTTAAATAACCGAACACGCATAATTCATGCGTTATCCATCTCTAGCTAAGGGGTTAAATTGAAGTTCACATGAATACGGATTCAATGAGGTCGAATTAATCACTTGCAAGTGAATAATTCATTATCAATGTTTCTTAGCTTAATTTGACAAAATTGAACCATACTGGCTGCTAAAAGCGAATTATTATTTCACTATTTCACTTTCATTAATGATTGGGGGAAAAAATCATACTTTAGATTTTTTATATATCTCGTAGCTAGTGCCCCTTTAACGATTCACATCCACTTATTTGTAAGAATGCTTATTTTGATTTTTATCTACTGCATTTTGGCAAAAGGGCCAGTGTGATTTTTTTATGACCACATAAAATAAATATGATAAACTTAAAAAAAAAAAACATTTTCTCTGAAACTGCTAACTAGGTACTAATTACAATAAACTGGTTGCAATCATTCTTTAAATGCCTAGCTAGTATAGTCTGTTAAATATTTGTGCATTCTAATTAACAATTAGTAATATTCTTTCGATGCTATCAGTTAATGAAATATGTATATATATTTATAACTAGACACACATTATACAGTAGAATTATTAAATAAAGTATTGTAAACCTATTAGACTACAGTACAGTGGGGAATTTGATCAACTCTGTTTCTAGGTGTTCCTTATTATTCTATACAAATTATTTGATTTCAGAAAAATTACTTTGAACTCATTTCCCCACCAATTTTCTGAAATTTTAATTAAAAAAAAAACCAGAGTTATATATATATATATATGTGTTGTTCTTTTGATATAAAAGTTGAAAGTTTTTTGTTTATCTTATAGTTTTTTTTCAGAATTTATATATATATCAGTTAAACATGAACTTAATTTTTGACTTCACAAAGTAACTATATATACTGTTAGAAGGCCATTTGTAGGTAATGGACTTCTGATACTGTATATATAGTAATATTGCATCAAAATGAAAGCCACGGTGAACTTACTGAAAAAATATGATTAAAATTTAAAAAAAACATATGGAAACTGCAAATAATTTCTGATACTTTTAGTGAAAGCTTTTCTATGAAAATCAGAAAAGATATGAGATCAAAATATTTTCAAAATGTATTGATTTGTATAGAATACATCGGGAAAAACATAAAAAGGGATGACTGTTTTCCACATGCTGTATAGTAAATGGGCGTTCCATAGAATGTGTGTTTACAAATTATCTCCCTTCCTTACAATGTCAAACAGGTCACACGTGACGTCAAGGTCTAAACAAAGATGAAAGGAGTCAGCTGGAGTTAAACTTTGCCATGTGATTTTAGGCAAACTCTGAGTGATATTCTTGACAAAAACTTTTGTAAAGGTGAAGACTACCGTGTCATGCAATCACTTGCACTGGGATGGCGATTGCTGTCCCGTGCGATAGTCTCCGGAATTCATAATGAGTTTCAACTTAAACCTCGTGCGAAAGTGAAAGGACCTGTTCAATTTGTGACTGGGTGTTCGGGCTTCTCAAAGTCAGTTACTAAAACACCTAATTTTAAAAACTGGTCTTTTGGTGACGACGCATATTTCGTAGCTAAAAATACAAGTTATGATGTTATAGGTAAGCTTTTAACTAAAGGGCAAGTTGATTGTTTACATTTGATCCTGACAAGGTCACATAAAAAAATTTCTTTGTTTACATTTGTACCTGACAAGTTCACACAAAAAATCTTTGATTTCTCATTAAACTCTTATCTGTATTGGGGAATCTGCTACATTTGACCTTTGATATTGCAATTTTATTATTATTAGAGGACTTTCAAATTCGTGCACTTTCCCGTAAATTTCCTATGTCACAATCTTTTACATGTATGTAATTACGTAACAAAAAGAGCGACTTGTTAAATAACGTCATTTACTCTTGATTGACCTCGGGTCAACAGGTGTTACTCATTCTTTAAAAAACAACTTGAAATAGTTCTATCACTAGAACTATTGACATCATACAACAATCACTTTTGATTTGGGGAGTCAGACAATTTCTCTTATGATGTGAAAATTTTGAAGGACAAATGTACATGTATTTGAAATTTTACAGGAACACTGGCCTTGGGATGTCCAGTAATGTCGGTAACTAGTATTTGGGAAATTCTTTGAAACCCCATTAAAAGTGGAAATCCCTCTGGAATTTCTTCATTCCCCCCAATGTTTTTTTACCAAAACACTCTAGAAACAATGATAGAAATAATCTAAAGGTCATAATTTTGGATAACATATGTATGTGTTGCTTTAATTTATTTATCATTGCTTATAACAGAGACATAATCCCAAACATGTTTTTTGTCATAAATTTGTTCCCTCTTTCAGTAGCATATAATCGGCATCTCCTTTTATTCAGACCATATGCAGGTTGCTAGTCTCTCAGTTTTTAGTGCCTCCTGGTCCAAAACATATAATTTTCACTATTACAATTTACTGTGGAATCCCCTGTGTCCATGCAGCTCCTGATATCGCGCATGACCTGATTACGTCATATCAGCAATGTAACACAAATAGAATCTTTTTTGTAATTGTTTTAGTCTTCCAAAGGAAAACAAAAAAGATTAAAATTGATAAGTTCAAGCATAAATTTATAATTGCAATCCAATGATTAACCATATTTACAGAGCTCCAGATAAGCTGCGTATTTGCGTGATCACGCAATACAAATAATTAAAAACCCAATGCATTTGCCCATTGCAGGGTTCAATAACCCAATTAATTCAAAGGAAAACCCAATAATATGCCAAAACCATGAGTTCTTAACTCTTTTATTCGCTATCGTTTGCGTTATTTACCCTTATCTGATTACAGTCGTCGCGTAAATCTATTTTTATAATATTTATAATTGGAAATGTCCTTTCGTTCTTTTAAAATAGAGCCCTGCATCAAGTAGCTGTAATGGGTCCCTGTTGGAATTTTCCGTTGCTCAAAAGGTACACGTGTTTATGAAAACATTTCGATCTGCTCGGCGTTTATCCAATTAGCGTGTGACATGCTGTCAAATTTTTCGAATTGCTCGGGATTTATCATAACATACAATGAATTAAAACGAAAGTAAATGTCCGATAAAAATATTGAATAGAAGCATGTTTTCGGCTTCTTTTTGATAGCTGAGGGAAAGTTATGATGATAACAAGACTCAGCTAGTGATTTTAGGAAGCGTCCATTGAACGCACGGGCGTGCTTGCGTACCTTAACGAGAACATTGCTATAGAACGATAAACACGGGGTTTCGTCAAAAACGAAATCAGTTGGAAAGCATCGGAAACCAAAAGTTCTGATAAGGGACAACTTAACCCAGATATATGTAAATTGAATTAAACAAAAACAGTTTATATATTATTTTTTTCACTAAAGTTGATAAAGGAATACACATATCCGTTTTTTACGTCAAATTATGCATCTTGACACTTTCTTTGTTTTGGTCTAATTGTTCTGGATGCTTAAGATAGTTGTCTTATTGGCAAGTGCAGTATAACATTGTCATTTATTTACTTGATGTTGCAGAATTATTTGTAAATTTGTAAAATGTGGTCTCCATCATTAAACCACCCTATAAATCTCAAGGTTTTGGGGTATATCTTAAATCTGGGAACTACTTTTTATTTTTTATTAAAAAGTATATCTGGCAAATAGGTGAAAGGACTTGCAAAACTTTCTTACAACACCTAAATTTCACATATATTACATAAAAATCTAAACACTTAGTAACACCTATCCCAACTATAAACTGTAGGGTGATCATATGGGATCTAGAAAGGCAGTTAGTTACTGTCCAACTAGTGACACCAGCTGCAGTTTACATAAGTTTTGAGAAAATACAAAACTGACAGAACGTTTAAAACGGGACACAAATTAAACGTACAATTGCTCGTCAGTGAATAAACCAAATAAAACAGCTAAGCACATATACAAAGAAAGAAACACATTTAAGATGGAAACACATCTGGGGTTGATATAATGTGATTATAACATGCCTAAATATTCAATATTGTGTTGATGAAAAAACCCAATACATTAAGGAGCTTGGTGGTGAAAAACCCAATTTGATATTTGCTTGAGGGGTGAATTGGAATTGATAATGCAATTAAAAAACTTTATCACCCAATTACATAAAAAAATGGTGGGTAAAAACCCCAATTTGTGAATTCTTATCTGGAGCTCTGTATTTAGCCATTTTCCATAAAAAAAAATTACATCATCAGCTAAACTTGTTTTCATTTTAAGTCAAATTTTTATCAAAATGAAATAAATTTTGCTTCTCATCCTTGGCAATCTGTTTGGTTCAAACTGAACTATATTTTGTAGTATAAAATCTCCTCTGTTCTGAATTAGCTATTTTTAGAAGGCATGCACAAAATCACCGGACATACGAAGAACTGTCAAACAGGGGTTTCCTTAATTCATTGTAATTTTGGACACGCATGACATAAAATATAAAGGGTGAAACCATACATAAAGAAGAATTCATGAAATTAAAGTTTGTCATGAATTTGTTCACACAATATTAATATTATCCGAATATTGGTTTTATGAGATTACCGAAGTGAAACCAAAAGTCTTAGGTTCACAGAAACATCGGACTGCACCGTAAATAGTTTAAAAAATTTAAATATCAACATTCAATTTATGTTTGGTATTATTGTATTGACATTCTAGGTACAAGGCACAGTTCGATCACTTTTGTAATATACATTGAAACCCAAAAGAGTTAACTGGGGTTTAGCAATATGGTCATCCCTGGACTTTTACTGTCCAGCAGTAAAACCTCTACTGTGGGGCGACCATTTGGCTGTAGAGGGTTTATTTATAGGCATCCATGTCTATTTGGAAAAGGGGAATGTTAAATGCTATGACCTGTGTAGGATAAGTGCCGTCTTTTCTGCAGGTTGAGAACCTTTGCAAGAATTCTCAGAGGGGTCTGTAGATGGCCTTTTGTAAGGCAAAATTTCTTACCTTTCCAACATGTCTGCATTACATGTGGCAGTCCAAGTTTCCTGCCCTTCATCTCATTTGACATACCTTTCAGAACAGAATATACTTTTTGTATTGATTGTTAATTTGTTTTTGTCCTGAATAGCCATTGCACATTAAGCAAGCAGCAATCAATCAACAAAAGAAAAAAAATGTATTTTGGTCAAAAAGATTTTCAGAAAAACTGACACCTTTGGACTGAGGTACATTTTACTTGTAATGCATACACGTAATCTGTCCAGATTATAAGATCACTAGTTTCATGACACATATTTCATCTTACCAAAATTTTCCTTCACTTATAATTACAAATGTGTTTGTAATCAATCATTTGTCATTGTGTTGGTCAACAATTAAAATCACACGAAAACAACATTGCAACCATTACATGTACATGTATATTGCTAATACATTAACTGTCAATGACTGTTGATAAACATGATACATGTAAACAGGAGAAACATTTACATGTTGTTTATATTTCTTTATATTTATACAAATATAGAAAAGTATTATAATACATATGCTATTCTGGATCTTTTTATTCCCTGTCAGTGTTTTATATCTCCTGAGCCGTGAAGGTTATATAGGGCACTGACAGGGAATATGAGCCCATATCCTCATTGAAGCCCAAATAACAATTATAATTTACTGGAGTGTCCTGATTTCAACATTTATTACCATCTTGATCTTTGTTCACAGGGTAAATGGGCTCATATACCCTGTCAAGGTAATGAATCCAATTCCAGGATTAGCAGAGATATTTCACTCCAGTATAATATATGTACATATAAATAGATATATATGTGGTTTTTATGCATTAGACCTACATGTACATCTTGTTTTTTTACATGTTAAAGTTTAAAATTTCTATCAGGTGTATTCTAAAGAATCAAATGATGTTTTTATGTTAATAAAACATTAAAAAATCATTGCTGTAAAAGTGTAAGATGTACATGATGCATGTAGGATTAAAGCAATATGTAAACTCTATCTGAATGATCTGGTCTCTATCTAATATTTCCAATAATAAGGCCATTTTCATATTCTCTCTAGATCTTGAATCATGTGTATTGAATAAAATAATGTAAATTTGTTTTAATTAGCAGTGTAGCACCATCATGACCATGATAGGCCTGCCTCGCAATTCTATAATTTCCATTCCTAGAACACTGTTATCATGGTTATAGTCTGATTTATAAAGTTGATTCTATATTTTTACTAGGTGTTGCTGATGGTGTTGGTGGCTGGAGGAATTATGGGATAGATCCTGCAGCATTCCCAAGAACATTAATGAATATATGTGAACGGGTTGTGGTAGAAGATCGTTTAAATTTAAGCTCTCCTGTCAAGGTTATAGAAGCTAGTTACCAGGAATTACTAGAACAAAAGACACCATTAATTGGTTAGTTATTTTTCTTTCACTTAACATTTTAAATAATACTAATCAATTTACAAAAATGAATAACAGACATGGCTGAATTCACCTTTAGTTCTACCGTGTTTAGACTGTTTACACAGCCAGATTATGCTGATGAGGCATAAAGCAATCACCAATCAATCTGCTAATTTAAATGTGGATTCATTGATTGATGTCAGTTTAATAACGCATCAGCACACATATACATTGTAAATGTTATGTCACAGCGGGATTTAAAGTAGAAGAGTCATTTATTAGTTTTTGTTGCTATGTAGTATAATAGTCTAATATTGCTATTTTCATGGGTTTTTTTAGTTGTGTTTTTGTTTTGGAAAGAATGGCAAAGAAAAAGTTAAACATGATAAAACAATTTAAAATTAGAAATAATAATATATTTTCAACTTTGAAACAAACAACAATCAATACCCAGCCTTTTAATTAGGCTTATGGGAATCATGGCATAAAATGTTTATACATGTCCAAACACTTTTGAACTCTATCTTAACATCTGTTTACTTTAACTTAAAAAAAATTCAGCACTAATGAAACGAAACAGAAATAAAACAAAACTTCTATGGTTTCTCAAAATAAATTTATATGGTGATTTATTAAAAATTGAAGACCATATTTTTTGAGTTTTTCAATATGTAAATGGTGAGAAGGGAAATATTAATGCAAGAAGTGCAAGTTTTTGTGTTAAAATCAAGGAATGAATTTTGTCAAGATGTTTCAATTATTTAAGATATTTTGTGAATATTTTGTCTTCAAAATATATTAAACTGATACAGTGTATAAATGATGCTTGTGAAAATTGATAATGGTGAGACCAGATACATTTTTTGTTTCCATAAATAGCAGATAAAATAATTTCAGATACATGGAGAATCAGAAATGCATGCATGTCATGGTGTGCCCTATAATGTGGACCTAATTATATCAGACATTTGCTAATAACATGAAAGAACAATTACATATGATAACCTCATGTTATCCAACAAACTTGATGTTGGTGTCTTTACACATTTTAATGTCATACATGTACATGTATGAAGGATCATTTAGTTCATTAATCTAAAACAGGTTGTAAGGTCACTAGTACATTGTGACATAACTTTTGATAAGTTTTTGATAAAATAAGGTAACTAATCTTCCAGTTGGCTACTGAAATATGTATTATACATGGTATATTTGTTCTAACTTAGATAATCAAAATTCTTTAGTTACATATTGAATTCCATGCATGTGGACTACTTAAAGGAATTTAGTAGGAAGTATTGATCACGAGTATTTTGGTATTTTCTAAAATTTTCCTTTGATGTTTTTTTTGTGATAATTTCTCATATCACGCTACTCGAGTGATTTGGGCTTTTCTCAGTTCAGTAGAAAGAGAATATCACATCATGAGCCTACGTCATTGACTTTGCCTTGGAAAACAGTGATAAACAGATCATCAAATGGTCGATCGAACCCAAAGATGTTTCTCAGCTACATCCCTGCCTATGATAATAAGAGGCATATTGTTTTGCTGTATGTGTGTCTGTCTGTCTGTTTAGTGATGGTCCATTCATCCGCCCCGTATCAGGTTAAAGTTTTGTTGTTATAGGTTGTTTACCGTAAAGTTGTGGTCACATCAACTTGAAACTTATTTATTTGTTGACAAGAACATAATGTCAAATAGCTATATATAGGCACATATTCTTGTTTCACAATACATGTTAATAAAAAAATATATGACCTGGGCAAAAAGTGGCAACCTCCAGTTCATCCAAAAAAAGTCTGTTTTCTATGTCATATGATAGCTTACAGTGCATCTGTTGGTAAAGCAATAAATGGTGCCTAGGTACATTTGTATAATATGTGAGAAAACTATTTCCTGTTCCCTTCTGATGTTTTTATATAAAATTGGCATTTCCTATGTATATTCTAGTATGTTAATTCTAATCTGACAATTTATATAGATATGTTTAAGAAATGGTTTATTGCATGGAGACAGTGATCAGAAAACTGTATAAAGTTCAACCGTTATTTTCCTACATGTACATGTATATGTTTCACACATGACAAAGTTATGAAAAGTGATAATGTTCATCATATTTCAAATTATTGAACAAGTTATTATTCCATATAGATTGTAACATGTGTAAATTAAAAAATATAAAACTTTTATAAAGATGTTTTTTTTATTTTTTTGGCAAATTTACATATGATTACAACATGATTCTGACATGCTGCCAGAAATGTAGTGATGTAGATTTAAATTTGATGACCAGGGTTTTTATTTATAATTTTAACCCTTTAGTTTGTTCATGTTCCGTGAACTATACTAAATAAACTTTTGGCATCTAAAAGAGATTTATAAAAATAAATGTGTTATGAACTATTATACGATAAGCTTACGTTGATATAAGAAATTTGAATATATATATATTTATGCTTGATCTGATGTAAGGATTTAAATTTAATAGTTTAGTTTATGTTGGCAATGATCGCTAATGTTACCTTTGGGCTATTGAACTTGTAGAAGAAGCTTAGGATTATTTGCATCTCAGGGACATTTGAAGGACCTTTTAATAACCATGATAACATTGTAGTTAAATTACATGTACCTAACAGATAACATTCATGTAACCTTGAGCTAAATAAATCCTGAGTTTACTTTTTATGTTCACTTTCTATATAAGGCATTAAGGATGTGAAAGCAATTGTTAATATAACCTCTCTATTTTGGGGGTATGCATGTACCATATTTGAGATAGCAACCCAACAACCCAAATACCAAAAGACATCTAGAGGTCAACATACAGCCTTTAACAAGATGAAGATGATTTGTATGAAGATGCTACAACTATCTTGCTTTTTTGGAGATGGCAAAACTATACTGTAGTACTTTTTGTGCTGCCTAAATGTTAAAAATAGAGATGTGTCAATTGTCAGATACAATGTACCTATTATGTGTAATGTATATAACTATCATGTTTACGCTATTTCATGGATAGATAAATAGTTATGACAATTATCTGATGCATTTAACACTGTAGATTAAAACGCTTTTGTGAAAAAATCAAAATCTTGATTTGTTTCAAATACTTATGATTCAATCAGCAACCTACTGGTAGTCATAAATTTTATCTTAGACTCTAGACCTTATCACATATCATGAAGCTGGAAAAAGTTATCAGGGGCTCATCCCTACGACATATTACATAGTAAGTGGTACCCCTTGGGTAATTTGTATATGTTTCACTACATACTCTATATATTGTACTTTTTTGTCCAAAGCTTTATAACTGTTTTTCCAGTTAAGATGTAGTTTGACAACTATGTTAAAGAAATACAAACAAAGTGAATGTGTCAAATGCAGATGAAATTCGTTAGATGTCTAGTGGAATGTTATTTATTTTGATAGATTAATTTCACATAGTTAATTATCCTCACTTTACTTGTTTTGCATACATTAAATGAATTTTTAAGACATTTTGATACAAAATACATTTATTTTGTTTCAACAAATATGTCATTATAAGGTGTACGAATTTTTAGAATTGATGAGAAAATTACATAATATAAAATGTACATACATGTAGCATATGCCAGTAACATACACTTTAAAACAGTTACTTCATTATATGTAAGAGTGATTCTATCTTAGAGCTTACAGACGTGTGTCAGTGTACCAAGGAGTATTATAAAACAGAAAGACAGACAACCTGATGGCAAAAGGAAGAAAAGATGAACAGAAAAACCTTAATTTATAAAACAATACATAGACATCATGGACATGATAGAAAACTAAAGATTGAGTAATATGAACCATTCAAAACCTTGAATGAATTCGGGACCGGGTGCTGCAGAACATGCAGAATCCTGAGAAGAGTAAGCTGTTCTTGCTCTACTGGAGGTCTGTTTGCAGTTCAATGCCAGGAACACATTTTACCGTGGTCAACATTCTGCCTCTCTGTCTGTCAGCATGTTTTTCCCCGACTTTTCATGGCTTGAATATTTTTCTTCAAAATTTTGATTACAAATTAGAATTTGTTTTCACAATCTATAATGAAAATCTTTTTTTAATGACAGAATTGTTTTTGTTGCCATTGAACCACATACAGTACTTTAATTGAAAACTAATTAGTGTGGTCAGGTTCTCATTTATTCAACCAAATTAACATAATTTGTTAATACATGTACATGTAAGTGGTTAAATTTAAGATTGCTCTTCTTACAGGGGTTTGTGACTCAAAAAGGTAGAATTTGTTATGAAACAAGCTAGATTTTCTTAACACAGGTTGATCACATGAAAAAACAGCAAGGTCCAAGACTGGAAAATTGCTGTGTAGCAAATGCTGTCAGATAACTGTTGAGATGAATATGTGTCCCTTTAAATCTTTCATAAGCTATGACCATAGACAGAAAATCAATGTAACATTGTCTGGCTGTATGAAGTAATCCTATTTAACAGTGTGGTGAAGTGAGAAACACATCTGAGGCCTTATACCATACTATATAATACAGTGTAATACATTACTATTATGTCTGTAATTAACATCAACACTTTTATATTAAATACATATGTAATTATATGTGTCTAAACATTCTCCTCTAAGTATGAGGGGGGAAATTGGATTAAAGTTGGAAAAAGAAATTATGTGTGTTAATAATTTTTTTTACAAAAATATAATTATATATAAGAGGTTGAACAAATGGTAATCCTGTAGGAATACAGATTTTTTTTCAGGATTTGATCTAAATATTATTTTGAAATTTAAACTTAATTTTAAAACCCTTGAAAATAGTGGCTAATTATACTATTGAACTCTCGCTGTGTTTGAGAGGATGGTTTGTATCTCTCTTTTATTTAAAATACATAGATAAGAATATCCACAGTAAATATATTTCAATTTAATAAAAAAAAGAGTAATACATGTATTGCTTTTACTTTTAAATTTCTGTTCCTTCAAAAAGAAGTAGACAGGAATTGAATTTTTGATTCAGTTCCAAGCTCAAGCAAATGTAAGAAGTAATAGAAAGAAAGATTGTACCAAATTAAACAGTTATTGTGTCATAAATAATAACTCATCCTAGAATTCAAAGTTAGATAAAGTATTCAATAATAGCAAAAAAACACGTTTATTCACGAATTTATCAGTATTGTTTGGTCACAAGTTGAATATTTTTTTAAATTTGAATTCTTGTTCTTTTTATTACATTAATCATGGACTTTTAAATTGAAATCAAGTAGAAAATATATCTTTTCTTTGCATTCTCAATTCGTTTTGATGCAAGATCATCAACAATGTCGTGACAACACCCATTACATTGTGTGTCGATCACGGAGGGAAATTATCACATCTTTTCACATGTGAAAGTATTTGTTTTTGTTTTACTTGGAAATCACAGTATTTCATTGCAACCAAGGTGATAAAATTATTTGTCAGTTTTAGCAATATTGTTTTAGATTTTTTAACATTTGGTCACAATATATATATATACATTTAAACAAAGAAGAAAGTCTTGAAGAAAACCAGTTCATGACCTCAAACTTTTCTCATTGTTAACCTGTAAAGGGTATAACTTAAATAAGTTATTAGAAAAAAATAACATACATTTGTTATTGTTGACTAAAAAATCCCAAAACCTGGATAACATATGTATGTTACATGTTTCAAATATACAAGTTCTATTGATATTGTTATTGTCTATATGCATACTAAACTTTAGAAAGATATAGTTTGCCAATCATGCATATTACATCTGTGTTATTACAGAAAAAATATACCTGTTATAACTAAAGGGTGTTATTACAGCTACTCTACATCACTTCAAAGCCCTTGCTCAGACAACTATCATGCTTAATCACAATGTATTTTAATTTATTGTAATAAAGAATAATCAGAGCATAAAATGAGGTACCGTGCAAGCTTCCAAGTAATTCCCAAGTGTCCCATTCTAAATTATATGCCTGTAAAAACTAAGCCTTGTTATTACAACTAAGTTTATCACTTAAAAGCCATCTCATTGATTTACCATCGTTGATCAAAAATGATTTAATTTAATTGGAAAATGAGTTATCCAGTCTACGTATTAAGTTTCTGCACAAAGTTTCAAGAATTCTCAAGTTCCCAATAAAAAGTGAAATATTAAAGATTTTTTTTAACAAATAACAAACATATGTTACTATAGATTAAGAGCATTTTAGGAAGAAAGAGTAGACAACTCATGAAAGCATCCGTAATAACACATGGATGTTATTTTCTTTGAATAACTTATTTAAGTTATACCCTTGACTATTAACCCTTGTCTTATTAGAAACAAACATTGGAAATGCCAGTGACATGGACTCTTCAGGTAGATAGCACATTGTATATAGTGAAAGGAGAAATGGGAAAGTCTTCTCACAAATATCCCTTTTTTTACAGAGGTGGATAATTATCAAATTAAGCATAATCAAAATAGAAAAAATACCCCCACAATTAATATGAAGACTGTATAAAAAATCTTTGCAACAAAAAAGACAGGTGCATTTACTGTAAAGAATGTATCGACAGGAATCTGTAGCTTGTTAAAAAGGAAAATTTAGTATAATACATGTATTTTGTGATTACAGCAGCATTTAAAACATGAAGAAGTTGTTTTGTATCCATAATTAATTACACAAGTTTATTTTGTACAGATACCCTAATCTGTTAGAAATTTAGTCTAATCACATTAAATTGTACATGCCATACATTATCTTTAGATGTAAAAAAAAGATGATAAATTATATTAAGCAGGTGTGTGTTTTATTTTGTTGTTGAAAGTTTGGTATCAATTAATCTGTGATGCAAGTAATTTTTTTCCATAGCAAATGATAAACCATCCATGTTCAGTTAGAACTTTCTTATTCCAGGTAGCAGCACAGCGTGTATAGTTGCCTTAAATCGTGAAGAGAGACGGGTGTATTCAGCAAACCTAGGCGATAGTGGTTTCCTTATTATACGTGATGGAGAGATAGTCCATCGGTCAGAGGAACAGCAGCATTATTTTAATACTCCATTCCAGCTGGCTGTAGCCCCTCCCAGTCAACAAGGTCTTGTCTTGAGTGACAGGTATGTGTTGTTCAGATGGGACTTTTTTATTACTGTAGCTGCAGTCTCTTCATTATTATACCCCCGCTTTAAAAAAGTGGGGGTATACTGTTTTACCTCTGTCTGTCCGTCCGTCCATCCCTTAGTCCTTCCATCCGTCCCATGAATATTTTTCGTCGCATCTTTCTCAGGAACTACATCATAAGGATTTCTGAAATTTGGTTTCAGGGTCTATATAAGTCAGCTATACAGTGTGATGTGTTTTCAGATTCATCACTCAACAACTCCCTGTTTACCAAACACTTACATGTTTTTACACTATTAAAATTATATTTGGGCGGGGGTATCATCATTGAGCAGAAGCTCGCAGTTTCACTTGTGATTACTTTAATCTATTACCCACTAAGGAATTTTATGTTGACGGCAGATTTTTGGTAGTTCGTTATAAAGACATGCAATTTGGGGCAAATAAGAGCTTGCATATTGTATAAAAACTTGTTTATAGTTTAATAAAGGCCTTATGTTGACCTCTAAATGTTCCTTTTTTGTTTGATTGTGTATTTTGGATCAAAGTAAATTGTCTCATTGATGAATACATGTCTGTCATCTTCTTTTATTCATATAAAAAAAGAAGTTTTTAGGATAAACATGTAACATCAAGTACAATATCAGTATTTGCATTTAATATAAAGTGATAAATAGATTCTATTCATAATTTTCAGTCCAAGTATGGCAGACAGTTCATCATTTCCTGTAGAAGAAGGGGACGTAATCATGTTGGGAACAGATGGCTTGTTTGACAATTTATCAGAAGATATGTTGTTACGTCATATTTCAGATTTACAGGTTGGTATGATTAATGTACTATTTATGTTTTTATTTCACAAATGCTTAGTGAAAGCTAACTCAAAAAATTGTTAGAAAAATGGCAATACAATCACCTTGTAAAACTGTTCAATAGATTTCATGTTTTTTAAAAGTATCTCATCTTGATCTACAACATATCCCAAAATAACAAATATGACAATACAATGTGAAACTGTAATGACTCCCATTAAAGTTGCCATTATAAAACCCTAATTACATTAAATTACATTGATGTTCATAATCATATGGTATTATTACAGGACCATAAACCAGAAAGTGTTCAGCAGACTGCCAGTTGTATAGCAGAAGAAGCACATTTGTTGTCCTTTGATGAAAATTATCTATCACCATTTGCTTTATCAGCAATCGACATGGGAATAGACTTTATTGGTAAGCTAGAATGTTTCATTAAAATAGCAGGGTTAATTTTTAATTTGAAACTGAAGAATATATTTGTCATCACATTTATTTTTCCAGGGATGGAAATTTGCAGTGGCCCAGTAGCCCATGAACCCAAAAATTTGAGCTGGGCTACTAATTTTTTCCACATTTTTGCTTGATCATATAACACTGGGCCACTAAAAACATTGGCTGGGCTACCACTTAAGAAATTTAACATCCATTGCTGCAGTGTTTCACCTCAATGATGCCAATGAGCTCCTGAAAAAAAAGCAATACTGGTACATATTTTTAAGAGTTATATAATTTTGTTGTTAGATAAAAACTAGAGGCTCTAAAGAGCCTGTGTCGCTCACCTTGGTCTATGTGCATATTAAACAAAGGACACAGATGGATTCATGACAAAATTGTGTTTTGGTGATGGTGATGTGTTTGTAGATCTTACTTTACTGAACATTCTTGCTCCTTACTATTATCTCTATCTATAATGAACTTGGCCCGGTAGTTACAGTGGAAAATATTTTGTAAAAATTTACAAAATTTATGAAAATTGTAAAAAATTGACTATAAAGGGCAATAACTCCTTAAGGGGTCAATTGACAATTTTGGTCATGTTGACTTATTTGTAGATCTAACTTTGCTGTACATTATTGCTGTTTACAGTTTATCTCTATCTACAATAATATTCAAGATAATAACCAAAAGCTGCAAAATTTTCTTAAAATTACCAATTCAGGGGCAGCAACCCAACAACGTGTTGCCTGATTGGTCTGAAAATTTCAGGGCAGATACATGATGAACAATTTTATCCTCATCAGATTTGCTCTAAATGCTTTGGTTTCAGAGATATGAGCCAAAAACTGCATTTTACCCTATGTACTATTTTTTACCCATGTAGGCCATCTTGGTTCGCGGGTGGGGTCATCAGACACATTTTTTAAACTAGATACCCTAATGATGATTGTGGACAAGTTTGGTTAAATTTGTCTTAGTAGTTTCAGAGGAGAAGATTTTTGTAAAAGATTACAAAAATTTACGAAAAATGGTTAAAAATTGACTATAAAGGGCAATAACTCCTTAAGGGGTCAACTGACCATTTTGGTCAAGTTGACTTATTTGTAGATCTTACTTTGCTGAACATTATTGCTGTTTACAGTTTATCTCTATCTATAATAATATTCAAGATAATAACCAAAAACGGCAAAATTTCCTTAAAATTACCAATTCAGGGGCAGCAACCCAACAACGGTATGTCCGATTCATCTGAAAATTTCAGGGCAGATAGATCTTGAACTGGGTAACAATTTTACCCCGTGTCAGATTTGCTCTAAATGCTTTGGTTTCAGAGATATAAGCCAAAATCTACATTTTACCCCTATGTTCTATTTTTAGCCATGGCGGCCATCTTGGTTGGTTGGCCGGGTCACTGGATACATTTTTTAAACTAGATACCCCAATGATGATTGTGGCCAAGTTTGGTCAAATTTGGTCCAGTAGTTTCAGAGGAGAAGATTTTTGTAAAAGGTTAACGACGACGGACGCCAAGTGATGAGAAAAGCTCACTTGGCCCTTTGGGCCAGGTGAGCTAAAAATGTATAGACTAGCTTATCTTGTATAGGTATATTAGCAATGAAATTACTAAGTATGATATTGGTATATGTATTTATTATATACTTAGTAGTAAATACAAGTATGTGTAATACAATCAATGGCAATCATGCTGTATCAGCCACCGTGATGATATCGATATCAGTCACGGTTGCAAAGGCTTTATCAAACCACAAACCTCTATGACGTCACATCATCGATATCAGTCAGCTTGCAAAGGCTTTATCAAACCCCTTATCTGTATAAGTTTATGTCACACGAAAAACATCTACTTAAGGTATATGATAAAGTGAATATAATATGGTTTTTTCAATGTCACACACCTGATCAACCCTGGATTATATTGGTGTCTCGGGTTGATATGGTTGTGATATTGAAAAAGCCATATGATATTCTCTATATATTACCCTTATAGAAAATACTCTGATATTTAAATTGAACTTGGGAGGGTAAATGTAGAATGTTAAACATTGTTTGTGTGTCTTTTTATTTGTATATCCATATGTATAATTACTCAAAGAAAGTATTTTGGATGTAGGGGAGATTTAAGAAGTCCCTACCTACCCTCCAACATTCATTTAGATGGAATAGCCTTATGTACAATCTCCCTATATAATGTACCATTATTTTTCATAACAGGTGGGAAACCAGACGATATCACTGTAGTTATAGCCAAAATTACTAGTTTTTCTGACAGTATATAATACTTATGTTAGGAGCTGTTAAAACTTATCATCATCAAGACAATATGCAACAATTTCCTGAGGGATTGCCACATAAAGAGTTTGTTCTAGGAGCTGTGTAAACTTTTCATTATCAAGACAATATGCAACAATTTCCTGAGGGATTGCAACAGAAAGAGTTTGTTCTAGGAGCTGTGTAAACTTTTCATCATCAAGATAAAATTTGCAACAATTTCCTGAGGGATTGCCACAGGAAGATTTTGTTCTAGGAGCTGTGTAAACTTGATATCATTAAGATAGAATATGCAAAATTTTCCTGAGGGAATGCCACAGAAGGCTTTCTTGGATTAATGATATTTTTGTAGAGTTTTTTCGCTGGTTTAATGTGCTTTAACTTCTAGTTTCAAAGTTGTAATTTTTGTAGTTTCTAGAACTTTGACCGTGCAAGATATTTTTGTTAGATGATAACCTTTCTAAGTTTTGAATTGGTGGTTCATAATTTTTATTTAATATAAACTAAATTTCTTGACAAAAATGAAATATCTATATTATTGAAATGTAAATAATCAACATCGTTAACTACCTAGAAAGAAAGTGACTATAATCAACATCGTTTACTTACTAGAAAGAAAGTGACTATAATCAACATCGTTTACTAACTAGAAAGAAAGAGACCAAATGCTATTTTTGTTGTTCAGTTTTCCTTTTTCAAGTAATATTTTTACTTTCACTACTTTGTAACAGTAATGAAATTGTAGCTACTTGTTTCTACAATGACTGACTAATAGTTTTCTACCTCGTGAAATCAGCTGGTACTGTAGTACTTACACAGTTGCAATAGTTGTGTAAAGACCAATGTAAATTTTTACCCTTTGTTTTTTTAATAAGAAACTGTGTGCAGAGTTTTTACTAAATACTTTAAAACTTGGTTTAACTTGGTTTAATGCCAAAGACTGGAAACCCAGTTATTTAACAATGATCATAATCCTTACATGTTTTAATGTCTTGAAAGTCAAAAGAGTTTGTTGCAAATGAACCGTGCCAATTGATTGTGGCAGTAGCCGAAACAGATATTTGTAGTTTTCAGTAATGTATATGAGCAATCTATTGCATTTAATGTGTGGATTGTTGCATATTATATATTTGCAAGAGAGGGGGTGCTAGTACAATAAATCATGTCTTTCATATTTCTTTTCTTTATCAATAGAGTATATATATTGATCTTTGTAGACTGTAGAACCTGTAATTATGTAATATTTTGCTGCTCTGTTTTTTGTTTTTGCTTTAATTGTTGTAAATATTGTATTTACATATTTTATTACACATTTTTTTATGTACAATATCCAATAATTGTTCCATTTGATTTTTTACATTTTAAAGCATTGTACACTAAAACTTGATGGGAACTGTATTGAAACATCATGTTATATTCTGATATTATTAAGATATTTTAGTTTCAAAGTAATCACAGATCTTACTTTAAAGAACTTGGGTATTTGAAATTATAGTTGTTACTTAATAAAAGAAAATGAGATAATTCTGATAGAGCTTTAATTTTGAAATTGGGTTAAAAGATATTTTTAGGGGGTCTGAAGGCACTTTTATTTTCCATGCCATGTGTAAAATTTTAATGGATTATTTCCTATTTGTTATTAAACTATTTTTCTGAAATAGTCACCAACCTTCAGATTTGAATAGAAGTTCCTTCTACACAATCAATGCTGGAACAGCCCCTAGCTTTAAATGCCAAAACTAAATTTTATTAGAATTACCTCAATTTTTATTTGACCACAAGTTTTAATACTCAGAAACAAAAAATTCTCCAATGAATGATATGAAAGTTGAGGCAGCAAAACAATATGAATTCACAGCGCAATATGAAATGCAGCATGCTGTTCTCATGAAAATGATATATACAGTCTCAGAACTGATTATTTCTAATGCTCCAAAAATTTCTTTTGATGGAAAATTGCTGTAAGTCAGGGATATAAAAGAGTTTGCTTTGTTTCATCAATTTATTTTTGTCTTTAAAAACTCAATTTTTATTTGTTACAAAAAAGTGAACATGTTTTGATAGTTTCTGTTAAATGTATAAAGATTTCTTTAGACTTGGGACGATTAAAAGCTTGATATGTTGTATAGCTATCTGTTGTTGAAGATTTTATCTTGCTGTAGATGTCTTATAAAAAAATTGTGCCATTGGGTTGCTGTCCCTTTGACTTATACCCCTCTTCTCCTTTTGTTTGAATAAACAATCCAGAATTTTGCTTTAATTGATAGATAGTGATCTCAGGGAATTTACAATTCCAATTTTTATCTTATGTAAATGTTCATGTCATGTTCATGTAATTACCAGGGTATACAATGTAGTTAACTGATAACACAGATTCTTATCATTTTTTCAAAGTATGAAAAAAAACACAAATATTTAAAAAAAAAAAATCAAAAAAAAATCAAAATAACAAAAAATTATAGAAAAAGAAATATAAAAATACATTAATACAAATAGGTGATTTTATAATTAAAAAAAAAGTAGAAAAAATAAAAGAATGTATCTGTTTTTGATTTTTGTGCAGTAAATCTGATAGAGTCACAGTGTGTACTTCAGATCACCAGTTTTTAAAACTTTAATACTAATAGTTTTTGTCTCATCTTCAGAAAGTAGTAGTAAACCAACTAATTTTCTCCAGGACTTCTTTTTGCATTTAACCCTTTTTAACACACTTTGCGACAATTTAACAGTTTTTCAAACAGTAATGATGTATTCATATACGAGAGGAACCTAGTTTCACAAATTTGCTTTATTTTTTCAACTTGCAAAAGTCACAAATATACATTGCTTGCAAAAAATTTGTTGGTTTACAGTATTTAGTTATAGTCAATAATGCAAGCACGACAATATCATGTTTTAGACCTTGTTAGTTTAAGTTAAAATTAAAATGTAGAGATAGTTTTAGTTAAAGGTTCAAATTTGTCCTGTTAAAATAAATTTGTGATAATGAAATTGTCATTGATTTTTTGTTTAGGAAAGTAATAAATTTATCACCATTGATTTAAATAATCGAGCAGCACATGCACAAAATTATTATTTTTACAGAAAAAAAAACCCAACAGATATTTATAATGTTACATGGTGTACACTTTGATGATCATTCATATTTTTGTTTACTGTTTTATATGTATTTAGAATCTTCGGGTATAAATTGTTTTCACTTGTTTTGTTTTTAAATGTCTGCATGTCAAATTCCATTCTTGAATACATTAAAATCCATTTCTTGATGAACTTATATTGTAAATATTTTAGGTAGTTGTACATATTTCACTTAGATTTGATGTAGATATTTTTATCTTAGAAGAGTGGCCTCTTAAATAATTAGTTGCAATTTTTTTGTATTGATTCTTGCACATTTTGTATTAAAATAAAGTTAATATATTATAAATCAGCAAATGATGTATGGTACTTTGTGATGATTTTGAAAGTTAATTTGTTTATATGTTAATTATTTTGAATTTTCTTCTAGACAATACTTCTTTTAACAAATGTGATATTACTGATGAGGGTGGACACATTTTTCAGTATTTTTAACAAGAATGTATGTAATAAAGGTAACAGGTATGGTAATTGGTGATCTCACTGATTTTTATAACATTTTGCATGCAGCTTGAACATGTAGAAATGTATATAAATTTTGAGACTTTAAAAAAGGATCTGAATTTTTTTAAGACTACCACTGGAAAAGTTCTGTTAGAACTAAACGTGTATTGTAAATAGGATTCACTTTGTGTGTTAAGCTGTGTTTTCTTGAATGTTGTGTGAATTTTTGTGTACTAAAAAAGTGTGCCATTATCCCAAGTGTTTGTGTAAATGATTGTTGTCAATGGTTATATGTGTAAGACAGAAAATTCTGAAAATAAATGTGTTATTTGTTTTCAATTAGGTGGTAAAGTTTCTCATTATGTCTTTTAAAGTAAGATAAAAAAAATTGACTTTTATATTACTGTGTTTTTGGGAAAATCTTAAAAACCAAGGTGCTTGCTCACTCAGACAAAGTTAACCCTAGATGGATTTGACTTTCTTTTCAGGTCCCTTTTGGTCATATAGTTACAGACAGGTTTAGTAATTTTATATCCCTGGATTTCAAATGTTCATGTGTAAGGGTTCCGGATGAAGGTAAATCCAGAAAAGCACTTAAGATGCAGCAAATTTATTCTCTAGGTTTTTTCAAAACACTTTATCATATATTAAGGATTTTTTGCAACAAGTTCAAGTGGCTGAAAGTTGATGTTTTCATTTTTCTTCAACAGTCCATAGATTGGTTTAAAACCTTGACCGTATGCACTTAGAAAATTATATGTTGAATCATGTAATATGACAAAGAATAAACAGAAAGGTATTTCAAAAGAAAATAAGTACTTTTGAAATGAACCTTTTATGTCAAGTCACATGCTATTGTTACTTATCAGTTAAGTTTTATACAAGAGAACATTCCTTGATATCAGTAGCTGTAGCTTTGGTAAAATTTGTAAAGCCTTTAGTTGAAAAAAACAGGAGCTATTGTTTATTAGTTTTAAAGAGGAGATTGAAACTCATTTTTTTGAATGAGCTTAATTAAAATTTGTTGATGTTATTATCATTTAGTTTTATTTCCGAGTTATTTAGAAGCAAAATTTTTATTGAATTCATCATGTTTTAAATTCCATTACAAATGCACTTATCTGCATCCAATATTATTGATTACATTAAGGGACTTGTCACAGATTATTTTTTTTAGGTACATTTTTTTTACTATTTGATGTCAGTTGACTTCACTTTCTGTCTCAAATATACATATATATATATTATGTAAATACATAAAATCATTCTTTTAATATTTTGATTTTTTCTGTAGTAAGCTATTTATTAAAAAAATAACAACAGCAGTTGTGTTGAATTTGGTATTAAATCCAGTTTTCTGGTTAAACAACCAAATCAAAAATTCTTTTGCATTTAGGGTGTGTGCTACTCTGATTTTCAAATTAACCTCATGTTTTGCCCCCTCCCCTCTTCCCTGACTTATTTTGTTTTTACCTAGGCAGTGCCATAAAAAACCAAAATTTCCCCATATTAAACAAAAGCATGTACCTCAAATTTCCTCCAGACAAAATATTTTCAATTCTGATCATTTCTATCACATTTTATATACAGTTAACCATTATTTTTTGGGGATACATTACTTATTGAAAATCAAGAGACATCATATTTCCACCAACAATAACGGATTTCAAAATGTTTGAATCAATATACCTATGTTCCCATAATTTGATATTTAATCATTCTTTGTCCTTTATTCTCGAGTAAGGGAAAATAACAGAAATGTTATTTTGAATATTAGTTGCACCCTTAAAAGTTTAAATATGACATTATATGAATCATTGTAATTAGCTATTGTATTAAAACATCATTTTTTTAATAGAATGTTGAATATAGGGTCCATCTGAAAGTTAATGATTGAAATAAGATGTATTATATTGTAAAGACAGTTTTATAACAGCCAGTTTGAATGTATAGGAGTTGTTAACAAAATATCTCCCAGATAAAATAATATTTTCACAAAAATGTAAAGGGTGTAAAAAAACTCATCATAGATACCAGGATTGAAATTTTGTATTTGCGCCAGACTACGTTTGGTCTACAAAGGACTCATCAGTGACGCTCAAATAATAAAAAGTTAAAAAGGCCAAATAAAGTACGAAGTTAAAAATAACTCTTTATTTCTTCCTGATATGCATTATTTTTTTGATTTAAATACTTCTGTCAGATTTTCAGTTACAAGTTCATTTATTTAAATAACTAGAAAGAAACGGGCATTTTATCTTTACAGATTACGATTTACATAGTATTGCTATAATTTTCCCTTTTCAAGAATTTTTTTTTCAAAGTGTTCAGAAAATATAAAGGGAGCTTGAAATTAACATCCTATAAACTTAAAACTTAGACCAGAACCTAGACTTCTAGAACACCATTCATATACAATAAATTCTGTACTGAAGATCCCTAATTAATAAGAAGAACACTTCAGCAGCTAGAGGTCAAGTATGATTTCAATATCAACAAAACAACCTTATAATATATATTATCTGGGAAATATTTTGTTAAGATAACATGTTTACATTATGTATGAAATATACAGTATTATTCAATGTTTAATCAGTGTCTGTAAACAGAACGAGAACCATGGAATATATAAAGAGTAAGTAGGTCATAGATCTCTTTATATCAATTCTTATGAAAACCATACTTCAATTATATATTATGAAAGCTAGTGTTGTGCCATTTTTTTTCTTCAGGTGACTGATTTAACAATAGGCTTCACATACTGTTAAAACAAGTGTTAATGGATACAAATTAATTAACCTTAAAGGCCTTTTTTGATGTAATTACAAACTCTGTGATTAGTTGATTGATAAAAATGGAATTTAAACCTGCCTTGACCATTACAGGTCTGTGAATGAATTTGTATCAATTTGTAAAGGTGCTTAGAGAGAAACGAACACAAAAGTTGTCCAGAAAATTAAGGAACTAAACTTAATTGTTTCCATAAGACTATTACCACATTTAGAACAATTTAAAAAAAAATGTTATTTACATCACATTACTTATTTTAAATGGTATGTATCATTTAAAATAAATCATTTTTTTTTGTTTTTCAAATCCCAAATTTTAAGACATCCTGTTCCACAGGACACAATCTTATCATAGTGATAACAGATTAACTTGACTAAAGTTCATCTTGGTTGGTATTTATTAGTTAATTGTAAGTAATTGAATATATTTAACTGACTAATGTTTTTCATTTGAACAGGTGGATCAAGATGATAGAAAATGTCAAATGTCTTGTAACATATTACATATAAATGAAGGTTTCTAGTTAAATTGTTATTGTTACACCAACATTGTAAAAAAATAGACATGGATTGTTGAAAAGTAAATAAAAAATATAAATAATTAAATTTGTGTTTTTCAATAGAAGAAATAATTTTATGGAACAGTCCTGCTGTCTGTTATTCATGTGGTATTTTTTATGTGATTGTCCAGGATTACTTGTAAAATGGAAGCCAATATCATATGTAAATGATATGTTCACTGAGATATTTCAACGCATTATAGAATGAATCAGATATATTTAATTGTGGTTTTTAGAACTTTATCTAGGAAAATTTCAGTTAAACCTTTTGTTATTTTCGAGTGTTGAAAAAAATATGCTTAGGAAATTTACTCCTAATTTTAAAGGGGATTTTGATGAATCAAAATTTCACAATGTCGTTAAGTTTGAGGGGATTGTGCCATTTATTGTTCAAGATTTACTGTTCTTTATTATCTGGTCAGTGCATTTTTGTTTCTGAATTTCCTGACCATTTGCAAAATCTGCCAGTTATTTGCAGCAACCACTGAAGGAACTTTATGTCTTCATGTGAACTGTTACTTTGTGGATTAGCATGTTTAAAATCTGACTTGGCATGTCAATCCGAATCTATTCAAAACAGTATTCTATTGATTTCACATAAACATATTCTCACCTTGAATATGCATATATTATTTGCAAGTGGATGTTAAATTAAGACTACAGTAGTTTAATAATGATCAATGCTCATAAATCAATTAAAAAGACAAACCAAGGTAACAAACACAAACTGAGGGAATCACATGAACTCAAAAATACCAGTTGGCTGTGCAGACAGGGTTAGCTTCTTCAGTATGGATACACCAACTACCATGTGAATCCACACTTGTCAAAATGTCACAATCAGTAAAATTACAGGTTAGACGATTTTGGTATCTAAAGAGCTTAGATTGAGAAAACCTATTTATCAATCCATGCTGAATGCTAAATACTAATTTTAAACTTTATTTTAACCCAGCCTATGATAAAACCCACAATTCCTGGCATACCGGTACATTTTATTTGATTAGATGTGTAGCTTTATAAATTAAACAAGATGGATTTAACTATTTTCAGTATGAATTAATTACAGTGAATTGATTTCAGTTTTTAGGGTAAAGATTGCATGCAATCAACACCCTTATGTGACTGACTTGATAGTTATAAAATTTCCTGACTTTTTCAATATATTTGAGATAAAAGTGCATTGAGTTGAGCATAACATTATATACATCATTTTAATATAGTTACAAAATTATGTGTATTACCATACTTGTCAAAAAAATTAAATAAATTGTGCATGGTGCATGCATCTATTATTTGTTCATAAATATCAATGATGTCATTGTTAAAGTAATCTTTAAAATTGACGTTTTCTTCTTTTGTCTTCCAGTGGTCGAGATGAAAAGGAAAGGGTTGAGTACAAAAAAAAAACATTTTACACCCTTCTTGTGGTGGAGATGAGAAGAAAAAGGTTGAGAAAACAAAAAACATTTTACAGCAATATTCCTCATCCTAAATTACAACACTCTTATACACATATTATCGCTGAATATGATCTTTTCTATAAGAATGGTAAACAGAAACAAATTTCCTATTTCATGTCAAGAATATATCCAACATATATAAAGAGCCGCACTGACTCCAATAGCAAATACATTAACGCAGAAATTATCAAAATTCTGTTTTCTTTTGTTGCCAATATTTGTTGAGTTGGGTGGATTGATATAACAACTGATAGTCGGTATTTTAACATGCCTTATCTACACCAGAAATAAATTACCTAAGCTGTATTTGGCAAAACTTTGTAGAATTTTGAGTCCTCAATGCTTTTCAACATCGTACTTTATTTTGTCTTTTTAACTTTTTTTTATTTGAGCGTCTCTGATTAGTCTTTTGATGCCGAAATGCACGTCAGGCGTACAAAAGTTTAAGCCTGGTATCTATGGAGAGTTTATTTACAACCATTGAGTCGATTCCACTGTTCCCCGAGGTTATCACTAGTGCAGTAGTCAACACTTCTTTTTGAGATACTAAGGATTTTCTACTCCAGGAATAGATAACCTTATCGTTATTTGCAAAACCTTTCTGAATTTTTGGTCCTAAATGCTCTTCAACTTCGTACTTTATCTTTCCTTGTTTTATTTGATCGTCGCTGATGAGTCTTTTGTAGCCGAAACACGCGTCTGGCGTGCAAAATTGTAAGACTGTTATCTATGATGAGTTTATTGACAATGTCCTTTTATCAAATGATCGTTTAATCAGCAAAACTAAACACAAACCAGAGGATGATGTTTACAAAATCCTTTTAACCTTTAAATTCCCTTTCAGATATATTCATGTCCTATTACTCAATAATCCTCAACAATTCACATAGCATGTACCAGGTTAAAGACTCAATCTGCAAATGAATGACCATGCTCAAATGTATATAATCACAAATAAATGTCTCTTATCACTTTAAACAACCTGACCACACGGTTGAATCAATGAAAATCAGAATCTTATTTTTTAATGGTTATTATCTTTCTATTAACAAAAAAATAGTACTGCATAAACAAAGTAAAACAACAAAAATACCGAACTCCAAGGAAAATTCAAAACGGAAAGTCCCTTATCGAATGGCGAAATAAAAATATCAAACACATCAAACGAATACCGACGTAAAACAGAAGACTATTGGATGTAGGAGTTAAGATAGCTCTTCCTTTTGTATGCACTGACAAAACTAATAGTACAGGAGTAAAGTTTTATTGGAAGTTCCAGGCGTAGTGATATCGAAAATTACATATATTTAGTACTTCGCAACTATATATATGTTACAGGCATTTTCTAAATTTAGGAATTTTGTAAAATGACTGAATTTTCAGGCAATTTATAAAATGCCTAACCTCAACAGACATTATATAAAATGACTAAAAATACCCAGTAAAATTTTAAAAATTGCCTGTTCAGTTTCAGGTAATTTGTAGAAAATAGAAATCATTAAGATACATCTGACTTAAAACACAATATCTTGCAAAGAATATAACTAATGCTTCAGTAAAACAAAGTTCATTATTCAAATGCCAGCTGAAAGTTTGTATGTCTGTTTATTAGTTATGTTAGGTGAAATTGTGTTTAATATGTAATCACTCTGTGTTTCATATACTAATCTTATGATCTTCTTGTCAAGATGGCAGAAGGACAAATTGTTCTTGCAATAGAACAAGATTCACTTACGAATCTTTAGAAAATCTAGAATCAAAACAGAAGTGTGTAATATGAAACAGAGAAAAGAAAGGATGGGTTTTGATTGCATGACTGATTGTTGTTTGTTTGCGTTCAGTAGCAAATATTTCATGAATTATAGGGAAGAGAAAAAATTGACGATAAATCAAATAAGTTTTGCAATGGAATGACTCGTATAAAAGACAGGAATTCGACTGTCACTTGAAATGAAGGTATGTTGGATAGGGACAGAAATATTGCCTTCCAAAAGGCCACCAACGGAACGGTCAAATAGTTCTTAACGTGCAAAGGGCGTGGCACTCCCCTTACACAAGGCATTAGATTTAATGTCCCCATTCAGAAAGAACGCGAATTTATACATCCTGCACAGTCAAATGGATTCCCATCTTCAGCATGGGGTTCACCATACAAGGCCATGATTGATTTCGATGCAAATATATGAGTATCTTCATCTTCAGTGCCGCATAGGAATTCTATAGGGTCTTTACAATGTGACGAATTTAGGCGACAGTACTTTACTGTTGTTAAAATCTCGAAAATCGATCAAAAAGAGACAAATCAAGATAACCGAGAAGCAAAACCTAAGGGACAATGAACTCCATATGAAGCAAATCCGGGTGCATGGACATGGTAATATGTTCCTGCTATACATGCATCACCCATTGACATGGATCTGCATCAGCCTGTTTGATGCTCTAATAAGCCAAAAGATGAAAGGCAACCTAATCGATCTATGTTTTTTTTTAATCTTTTGGGAACACATGAATAAGAAGATACTCATGTGTATGTTTTTTGAAAAACCCCATGTCGTTTCGCACTTTAAGTGGTTTAAAGTCCACCATTTTCTACACGAGGAAATGCCTGTAACAAGTCAGGAATATGACAGTTGTTTTCCATTTGTTTGATGTGTTTGAGCTTTTGATTTTGCCATTTGATAAAGGACTTTCCGAATTGAATTTCCCTTGGAATTCGGTATTTTTTGTTATTTTACAAATTTGTTTAAAGAAGAACAGGATACCACAGTTTTAGTTTACGCTTGTACTTAGTACAGAATGCAATGCACAATTATCAATATTGCTTAACATCGGCTTTTTTAAATAGTGACAAAAAAGATTCACACACCTAATTAAATGGGTATTGAAAAAGTCAGAATGCGAATATATATGTTCTAACTCATTTAGGTCATTTTTTAGTAACAACAGATAAAAGAACTATGTCAATTGGACCTGCTCTGATACGATAACAGCCCTTGAATTTTTACTAGATAACATTTCTGTTCGCTATGGAGATTCCGTATGTCGCCAAGTTATCGGAATTCCAATGGGGACTAACTGTGCACCACTTATTGCGGACCTGATTCTGTATTGTTATGAGTTACAATTTATGACTAAAATCAGCAAAGACCCATCGAAACAACATCTGATACAAAAATTTAATAACACTTTTAGATATTTGGATGATATCTTGGCTCTCCATAATGACGACTTCAGTATGTACACTAAAGAGATTTATCCTGCTGAACTGACTTTAAATAAAGCTAATACTAACAATGAACACTGCCCTTTCCTCGATCTTGATATCTATATCTTTAACGGGAAGTTTAATACCAAAATTTATGATAAAAGAGATGATGTTTTAATTTCTATTGTTTATTATTCATTTTTAGATTGTGCTTGATTTTCATATGATGAAGACATAATCTTTCAGTCAGTTTAATTGAGGTCTGGAGCTGGCATATCAGTAACTGCTTGTAGTCCTTTGTTAATTTATGTATCATTGTCATTTTGCTTAGTTTCTTTTGTTACCTTTTCTGACATCGGACTCGGACTTCTTTTAAACTGAGTTTTACTGTATTGCTGTGTGTTTGTTTATTCTACATTGGCTAGAGGTATAGGGGAGGGTTGAGATCTCACAAAACATGTTTAACCCCGCCGCATTTTTGCGCCTGTCCCAAATCATGGGGCCTCTGGCCTTTGTTTGTCTTGTATGTTTTTAATTTTAGTTCATTTATGTGTTTTGGAGTTTAGTGTGACGTCCATTTTCATTGAACTAGTGCACATTTTTTTTTAGGGGCCAGCTGAAGCCCGCCTCCGGGTGCGGTTTTTCTCGCTGTGTTGAAGACCCATTGGTTGCCTTGGGCTGTTTTCTGCTCTTTGGTCGGGTTGTTGTCTCTTAGACAAATTTCTCATTTCCATTCTCAATTTTATTTACTACTAAAATTCAGGACGATTAAGCACATAGATATCTTTCAAACTCAAATAAGCTAACAAGGGTTTAGTTCTATTTAATATAAGCAACAGCTTCACTTAAACATTAAATAAAAGATACTATAGAACCACGACCGTCTGTTTTAGATCTTGAGGCTGACAGACATCTGAATGCTAGACATTTTCAAAACCTAATCGAAACTGACATCTTACGCTATGTCTAGGACGTAAGGCAGTTGACCTTATGATTAGGGGATATCTGAAGGTTTACAATGATCACAGGTAGTAACATTAACTTTTAATGGTTGTTTATTATATTTTAAATACTATATAACACAGTTCTGTATTCCACTGATTTGTTCATTATTAGCTGTCTATTCAGTTAAATAGAATTGCTCGATGCTCAAAATATTCCTAGTGAAAAACTTAAAAGTGAAATTTAAATAGAAGAAAAACAGGTAAGTGAAAATTATTTTCTGATGTGAAACGAGACTTAGTATGCAATATGTTAAAATTTATTTAAGAAAACAGTTGACGTCAACGATAAACCAGGCCTGCTTTGATTTCATTCAGAGCAGATAATTGCTTTTTTCCGAACTTAATCTTTTATTAACGAAATACTCTAAACAGAATTAAAAGAGTATCTTAATAATAATCTTGTCGTAAAATGTTGCTTTTGAAAAAAAAGAAATATTTCCATGTAAAAGAACGATAATTTCCATCCATTTATTTTTTTCTTCACACACCAACAAAAGTATCTCTGAACAACAAATTTTATTTGATGAAAGAGTTTATTGAATACTGATAAAGATAACTATTCAGAAGTTGGAATCTTATTTCTTACTTACATGTAATTGTTGTCTGATTTTTATATAGGCTCATACTTTTAAAAATGATATAGTAAAATAGTGAAAACTAAGTACGTTTTATGTAGCTTGAAATTGACATAAAATGGGTAAAATAACAAAAATACCGAACTCAAAGGAAAATTCAAAACGGAAAGGCTAAAAACACATCAAACGAATTTTAAACAACTGTCATAGCCCCGACTTTGTACAGGCATTTCCTTATGTCGAAAATGGTGGATTAAAACTGGTTTATAGCTAACTAAACCTCTCACTTGTATAACAATGCTTAGCATGGCAGTTTAATTGATTCTTCTTCAAAGATTTAACGCAATCACTCTTCTATTGGTTTTCACACAAACATATAATTTTTATTCTCTGTTGAAAATTATTGCATCATGAAAGTTGTAAAGTTTTTGTTAAACTAATCACCATTTAATAAATACGCAAGAGTATCTAGTAATTCATGTCGATATAAGATTTTGTTGAGACATCTTTTGAAAATGTCTACTTAGATCTATGGTACAGGGAAAGATTCTGTTTTCAATCTGCTTCCGATTCATAAGAAGAGATATGTACGGCGTTTACATTTGCACGAGTCTTGATCTAACATGGCGATTTTGAGCTTAGGTGGATTTATCTATATTTTAGGTCCCTCTTGACAGACAGCGCCTCCAGTGTTAAATGTTTTATGCATCCTTGACTTTCAAATCTTTGGATTTGAGCGACCTTAATGAAGGTTAATCCAGAAAAGCGCTTTGGAGGCATGAAATCCAAAGTGTTATTTTCATTAAAACTTTTATTCCAGTTTAAGTTTCTCAACCCATTAGGGATATTACCTCGGGCATATATTAAACATGTCATACAATGCCAAACAGATATCATGACCGACTTTTACGTTCTTTGTTTTAACACTGTCACGTGAAGGTTGATGAATGCATATAGGGAGATTCTTACCCTGTCAACGCACATGGCATAATCCTTTTCGAAATGAAGCGATTAATATTGTTTTCCCTACTTGTACGATTCAAATTTGGGTCAAATCGATGTTTGTGAGGTAGGTCTTGTTTTACTTTCCATTATCATACAAAAATCGAACATTTGTTCATTCCAGCATATCAATGGTGGCTCACTTTGTAGTGACGGTAAAATTTAAACAATGAAAACAAAATTAAAAAAATAAGGATTCATCGGAACTAATTCATTTTTAAAAGAGGACTTGCTTTTAAGCGGAAAACATTAGATAGATTGTTTTTGTCTGAACCAATTTCCTATATAAACCAGCGTGAACACCCCTTTTCTTGCAATTATTTTGAGGGTTTTGGACATCATCTGAGTGTATGACAAGTGCAAAAATCAATCGATATCGAAATACTAGTAGGTACAAGGCGGGGAAAATTCAATAGCTATTATCCTATCCGTAAATGAAATAATATAAACCTCGGGTTTTTTTTATATTTTCCCTGAAGACATTCTCAATGTCTGTTCAATGTACTAAAATTTTTAAGGTTTATATATAACCACCAGTCATGTGATGGATCAATAATCAGATGAACAATACCCCTATGATTGTATTTTATTTTCGTCTTTTAACATACTCACATAAAACACATAACAAACAACACACATTATATACAATTTGTACTATTATCAAAATAATAAGACAATTTTTCGTTTCGTACAGTTTGAGCAAACATGTTAACAAAGATAACAAATTGTAATAATTAAAAAAAAAAACATTTTCAATGTAATAAATATCCACAAATCTCGCCATTGCATTGGCTGCTGAGGTATACCCCATATGAGACAGTATTAGGGTCTAACACTACGTACGTCAGATGTCGTTATGTCAAATACTAAAGACCTCTTACTTTTTTAACGTCACGTGAAAGATTGTTTTACTGTTGAAAGCCAATATTACGATGTCATGTTTATTATGAGTCAATTGAATAGAGGAGGCTCAAGTTGCTGATAATAAACAGAGATAAATCAGTACAATTACGATTGAGTCTACGATGGCAGAGAAAACAATCAACTTTACTTGCGACCAAGGCATACAAGTTAAAAGGCGAACTTAACAAACATTTGATTTAGCAAACACTATTACCTGGCTTAATTCAACCAACTTTTAAAGAATTTGTTTTCAAAAGGCAACATACTCAACATGCTCATCCCGTTTTACTATCTATGCGGTCTTTTATTTTCTTAACATTTTTAGCAGATATATTTGCATGTGTTTCTTTACCACATATACTGCTACCTTGTATGACGACGTTGCTTAACATATCATTTACTGCTTCGTTCTATTTCATCAGAAATATTCTTGCTCTCGATTCATCTCTTTCCTTCTCTGTGAATGTTATATAATTTTTATGTTGTTATTTTTTTAAGCAGTTTATATCTAAATGTTACTTGTCTTTGCAATTTTTTAACATTCATACCATTATTTCTAATGAAAAACAAACAAATCAAACTGCAATTAGCAGTTTTGATCTCATTCAGCCGTAAAAACACAAAAGAGGAACATGGTTTATATTCTAATCGAGCTGTTTAACATAAATTGTTGTTGTACCTACCACTGGAGCAATTTGCTTTTAACGAGACATTTGATTGTCTGCAAGTTTATGCACTTCTCATATTACATGGTACAGATTTATCCAGGCATATTATATGATTTGGTTTGACATTGTTTTTTTTCAATGTTCGCTATTCAGGCACTACAGCAATTTGTTAATAGTTTTCATGATATTATTAGTTACTCTATGGAAAACAAAAATCGCTGTTTTGTCATCGACCTCTCCAATAGATTCAAACCATGACATTGGCGTGATGTTTCAAAATCATAAGGTATTCTCTTTGTAATATTTCAAATATTTGTCTCCCATTCCAACCAGTAGGTCATCATAATGCCTTTGCCCTATAAAACAAGAGATAATTAATCATTTTAGTATAGAACAAAAATTAGATAGCATGAAGATGCTTACTATCCTTTTAGTATACTTTTACATAGCATATATCATAGATAATAGAGTTGTCTTGCTACGCATTCATTAAATCGATATTCAAAGTATAGACCGAAACACGCTCACACTTTAAGACACGACTACTAACCAAATCTGAAGCCATTTCGTTCAAAAGTACTAGATGTAAATGTGTGATGAAAGTATCAAATACATTTAAAGAATTGAAAAAATCACAGTATCGACAAACAGGATGTATGTTTCTGATAGTGACAATATGTTCACACATTACAACTCATCGCTCCCGAGCTCTTGACCAAATATGAAGTCATTTTGTTCAGTACTACCCGAGAAAAGTGTGACGAAAATATTTGTTGGTCAAACTGACGGAAGAGCAGATAGACGGAAGGAAGAGGTAAATGTAATAAAACCCTGACCCTAGAGTGGGGACATAAAAATGTTCACATATTACTAGGGGTTAAATCAAGGCAACAGTAGTTTTCCAATGCTTAAATTTTGTAAATCGATTAAGAAGTGATTAAGGTAACCAAACAATAACTGGGGTATACGCAAGAACTGCTAAAAGAACAATAAAGTGTGTCGATAGGATACGCGTCTCCTGCTATGAATGCATTACCCAGTAAGCGAATCCACACTCAGTCAATATGTCACAATTGGGAGTAGGGCACAATCGGAAAAATTACAGATCAGACGACCATACTAGTATCTAAAGATATAAGACCGCGAAAACAGGTCGCTAGTGAGTTGAGAAACCGACACATGGTATCGTTTAACGAATTCGTGATGATGTCCGTAAAACGTATGTAGTGTAGATTTAAGTATATCATCCACATAACTCTTTTGGATCAGTCATTGTGTAAGGCACTCACCCCTGTTAATGAAGTTTGTATAGTGTGAACATGCACGAGCGTAAGGTAAAACAAGGAGACATGTAAACACCATACGATTAGACAGAGGTTATGTCACTGCTGAGATCTGGGAAGTTGACAATTGCTTAGCAAGATAAACATACAGCAATAAAAAACACACCTTCAGGTTAAACGAGAGAAACACACAATAAAGTTGAAACATAACATCAAGGCTTAACATGATTCCAAACGATACAATTGCACATAACAAGAGAAATATTCAACTGAAAACATTACCTTGACAAGAATTTCTCCTCTAGGTAATACTGTATAGGATGGGTCCGTTTTTAGGAGCGCAGCTGTTGCACCACTTATCTGTATCTTTGAAGCTAAAATTGTAAATAACATTCAGTTTGCAATTGTTCGAAGCTTATCAATACAACGATGTACGCAAGAGTTCAATTAGATAGCTTATTCTAATTGTTTAATTTAGACATGATATAATTAGAAACGAATTTAAAACAAAAAGCCAAAGAAATGTACCTTCTCCTGAACTTTCCATCCTTGCAGCTGTATTTACAGTGTCTCCAAAGAGACAATAACGAGGCATCTTTACACCAATTACACCGGCAACGCAGGATCCTAAAAACAGTTAAGATTTGTAATAACCATATATATTTTGGTTGTCTATATTGTGTTAAAACAAATGAGGAATAAACTGAGATCACATCATTTTCCTCCTTTTTTTTTTAATTTGTTTTTTTTTTTAAATACACTTTAATATAATAATTGCTTAATTTTCATCAAAATTCATCTTAATAGTAAGCGCGAAATACTTTAATTGCCTTTTCATGTCGCTGTAAATACCTTTTGGTTTTGGTTTAATGTTAAGGGTGTTCATAAGATTTAAAACTTGATTAAAATAAAAATCAAATCAATTTGTTTTTAATGTAAAGCAGATAAGAAAAATAAAAGGAAAACTCTATGTGATTGTACACCTGTTCTCATTTGAAATGTTCGTCTAGGTTTAATGTTTAATTTCATATGTGCTTTATATTCGTATCAATGCATTTCCCTTTTATGTAATGCCCGTAATGAAAATAAGGGAACATCTACCTGAATGTACACCTGCTCTCATCTGAAGCTTTCGTCCAGGTTTATGTTTGATTTCATATGTGCTAACATATCTCATTATAGACATAATCATTTTCGAGACTTCAAAATAGTGGTAAGTATTTCTTTGTGGTAGTCCAGAAACACACATATAAGCATCACCTATTGTTTCAACCTAAAATCAGGAATATCATAAGAAGGCAAATCACAGAAAGAAAATATAAGCCAAAATAAAATAAATATGAAAATGTGAAATATAGAATGGTCATAGACATAGGCTAGGGAAATCGAAACATAAGTTATTCTTTTATTGGGATTTTCAGTATTATTTCATCATTATTAATAACACATTGATGTATTTATAGTAAAATGCTATTTTTTGTCATGAAGAACAGCAATGCAAACTCTGTTCCTTTGCTTTTTGCGTATTTTGCCGTGTCATGTTTTGATTTTGTGTCGTGAATAGATACTGCATATCATTTCTTTTCTATTACATTAAATATTTAAGTCTGCTTTGGAAATTAAAGGATATAATCCGGAAGTTTTTTTTATTCTGTAATTATAATAATTTACGAAGCAGACTTCTAGGAAAACTAACAAAGTATCTGTTGACAATTTGTTTGAATTTTTTTTCTCACAAAAATGTAAATGAAATTTTTTCTTTTGCTTTTAAAAACATGTTATCATGGTCATGTTGTTACTAATAATAAAGTCATTTTTCCTACTGATAGCGAATATCTGTACATCAAAGAAACTCTTTATTTGATCTGGTTGTTATTACTTTATATTTTGTAATATAATGAACTTTGGTAAAATTTGATTGAAAATTTTCAGAAATAGAACAAAAATAATCATGTTGATAAAACATATAAAAGTCATTAAATATACCAGGTTTATAATTTAGTTTGCCCACAGCTCGTTTCGTCTACATTAAGACCCTTTAAAATTGAGAAATAATTTTCAAAGCTTCAGTTTTTTATTTTTATAAATACCTTATAAACATCAAATTCGTTGATTATTTCATCAAAGCCTGAGTATAATGAGTTCAGCATGTCAATTATCTGAAATAGATCATATATACCGTTTCTACATATTGGGACATGTATACTGTGAAACACTTCTTTTCACATTCAATTCGAGGTCAACACTATAAATTTAAAAAGAAAATATCAAAGTAAATATCTCGCGTATGACTTCACAAGCAATAATAAAACAAGAAATTATCTAATCAATCCCAAGCCTTGTGGAACGAAGCAAGCTCATACTAGGGTCTGGGTGGAATTTACAAAATAGAGAATAATGGACAAAAAAAAAGAATAGGGGACAAAAATTAGAGGATAATTGACAGAAAAAAAAACCTAACGACAGTAGTAATGTACCAAGCTTACAGTAATGAACAAAACCACCGAATTAATATAATAATGAACATATAGAATATATTCTAGAATTTTTCATAAATCACACTTAAAATTTGAGTTTTATTTTATATCAAAGCAACACGAGGGCAAATTTTGATGAACAACCGTTATAACTTAAACATATATGCATTTTCCTCGAGAATTTTTCTGCATTGTGCTCTCTGCAGCAATTCTATTTTTTAACAAATGTTTTTCATCATTATCTCTTAATATAACTTATCAAAATCAAATTTAAATCATTAACCCAATACATGGAGGCAAATGGCCCTTTACACAATCCCTAATCTTTTAATTAGTTCATGTCTTCAATTCTATTATTTCTATGAACGGTGGTAGCCATGTTTGAAGTGCTTGAAGTGCTTAATTATAGTATCTTGTATCGGAAAAGTATCTGATTTCACAAAGTCTGGAGAAGTTTAGCAATGGGGATGGCTATTTCTTTATGACTGTTCATGATGTTGGAGTGATAAAAAATCTCTATTCGTTATTTTAAGACCAATATTCTGTATTGACGAAACAACAGTCTAGACCTAAAATAATATATGGTATTAATGAAACAACATCTTAGCAGTAACAACAACTAATGGTATTTATGAAACCACATCCTAACATTAGCAACAGTAAATTATATTCATGAAATCACATCCTAACCCTTACACAGCAAATTAATACGGAAAAAGGGTAACCTCAGCACAAACCTTTAGCGAAGGAAATTGTAAAAGTACATGTGTGCATAGTATTGTCCACTACAATTTCGTTAACTTAAGTACAAACATTTCACGGATTCGTTTACTTCAAAGTTAATAATTGATAAAAGATTAAAATATACTATCATCGTATCTGCATACATAAGCTCAAAAGTGGCCTTCAACGGAAATAAAATAGTATTTAACAAATTTATGCTCAGTCAAAATCATTTATATTATATTAAAACACTTATAACATATATACGAAATTAAATAAAATTGACAATGGAGAAGTTGGCAGCTATGACTCAACGCTACAATTAAAAACTAATTCTTATCATAAGCAATGATGATAATACATGTCACATACCTGCATTGGTGATGATTCTGCTGATAAAGTTGTGAACTGTACAATATCAGTGAACAATATTGTCACATTGTCAAATGATTCTGGATCAGCTGTACCCTGTACTTGTATCTGGTGTGCTATTGATCTATAAAAAAAAATTCTGAAAAATCTAAATGTTTTTAAGAAGATTTTTAATTTCCAGGATGGAACTAAAATGCAAGGTTTTTTCGTAAAATACTATTATCAGATTATTGACAAATACATTGAAAAAACATTGAAATTAAGAAAACCGATGTCTATGGCATGATATGAAACTAGGATAATTGCAAAATTGTATGCCGTCCATTTAGCTAAACTGGTATACATTATTGTTTAGGGGTCAGCTGAAGCCCGTCTCCAGGTTCGGGTTTTCTCGCTGCGTTGAAGATCCATTGATGCTCTTTGGTTGGTTTGATTTCTCTTTAATACATTCCCCGTTTCCATTCTCAATTTTATTCGTTGTTCGAATGAATTACAACTGTTTTCAGAAAAATCTTCATAAGATCGCTAGAAACTAAAAGTTTGGAAAGTCAAAATGCATAAAACGTTTGGAATAATCAAGACAGCAAAAGCTTCAACTTAATAAAATAATTACATAAGATAAGAAATTATCTACTTACTGAGGCAGAAGTCTATATAGGAGATTCTCTGCCTTCTGTTTCTCTTGGAGGTATTTTGTTGTTCTTTCTTCTACTATCCCTTCTAAATTATTCGCATATAGTTCCATTCGTTTGAGTAAATTATCTAAAAGGTTTTTTGCTTTTAACCTTAAATATTTATTTAAAAAGTTTATGAATAAATCTCAATGTTATATGAACGTGTCATAATAAACTGAGTATTTTAGTGTTGCAAGAATAATTACTAGAATATGACAAATTATTCCATTCTTAATTGTTATAATAAAAAAAAACCTCAAGGTAATAACAAAACAAAAAGTGACTGAATGACAAATATATAAACGGTTCGCTTGGATCAACTTCATACTCTATTTGGCCTTTTTAACTTTTTTTATTCGAGCGTCACTGATGACACTTTGTAGACGAAACGAGCGTCTGGCGTACACAATTTAATCCAGCTATCCATGTTATCTATGATTAGTTTATTTGGTACAACTCAACACTATAAGTTCCAAAAAAATATCTAACCATTCTGCATTACAGAAGCTGGGTAATTTGTTTCGAAAGACGAGCAGACGGATAATGATATTGCTGTAGAATACCTATTCTATAAGTAGGAGTATGATTATACAATCGTTCAATAGTGCATGTATATTTTTCTGACATATTGAATCCTCATACTAGTATACGAGACAAAAGGAGACAATGTGCAGTTTAATGACGCTACATGTTTGCCTTACTCATTATGAATAATCTCGTTTGAAGTTCTTTGTTTTATTTTGTATACTGTGGATTTATTTATTTTCGTGGGTCAAATTTTCATGGATTCAGGAAAAAAATAACTTTCGTGGATATTTGACTGCCAAAGTCTGCATACAAGCCTAAATAAAATATTTATTGTCTTTTCGAGGGCAACAATCTGCTCTATCACCCTCTCAGCTATGTGGTATTTAATTCATTATACTGAATGTTCTGTTTTTATTGTCTATTAATTTTCAAATTCAAAGTAATAAACCATGACGTCTTGTACCATGTGTACATAACCGTTTATATTTAATAAAACGCACAATTGATAAAGCGTCTCTTTGAAGGGTTATAGAGTATTTACCATGGGATAGAGTAATTTATCTACCTCGTATTAACCAATCAAAATCTGGCATTTTGACATGAAGTATAATAATCATAAATGCTATATACTGTTTTCATGTTGTCATCAGATTAACGTATATCAAATTAATTACATCTTTTTTAAATAACATACATCTAATACAAATCATTTATTTTCACAGTTTTTATTGTGTACTTACTTTGAGCCTGTAATAGAATTGATTGCTTTTGATACATCCTTCAGCAATGGCCGTTCGAAAGGATTTGATGCCCAACAACTTTCAATAATAGTCTTCAATTTCTGAGGACAAAGGGATGGGTCAAATACAGGTCTGAATGGAGGAATGGTATCGATCTTAACTTTATCAACCATTTCTGCAATTAAAATGTTTCAGGGTTGCTGATCTAACATAAAGGTATTCTTTTTTCATTATTTCCATCTTTAATCACTTTCCATGTCAAATCTTTGCAAACAATATATGTAAAAACAACAGAACCTAATGTTTCAATTAACTGCTGGGAAAATTTAATCCATATGTTCTAATTAAAATGGCATTTTTTAAGTGTCGTAGCCTGCCAAAATGACTGATTTGTTCTTCAAAGAGGATATTTACGGTACAAAATTATATTCTATTATGAAAACTTTGCTGAATTTCGAGGCACTTTGAATTTTCAGAATATATTCACTGTATCATTCATTCACAACGTCTACTTTATCTATCACAATGAATATGAAAACTCTCAAACTCTATGAAAACTAAATCTAATTTTAGAAATCATTATTTGAATAGTATATTTATCATAACTTTGTTATAAGTACAGTAATATGATGAAAATACTAGATCCTATTTGATATTTTGTGTCTTTGGATATGATCTTATTCACGTATAGCTTACATATCTTTTTTCTAAGAGATAATTTGCTGTCAAGAAGTAGTTGATAACAGTCACAGGTTTGTTGTGACTTAAATCTCAACCGTACATATAGGAACCTTTTTTAAAAATGAAATGTAGCCCCTTGTAGGGAATGGTATGACAAAATATGCAGATTCAACAAATTCATAGAAGGCCGAGAAGTTTTCTTAATTAGATTAAAGAACTACATTTTGATCTGCTTACCCTTCTAGCTCACATGAGATTACCAGCGGTTTTTGGTAGGGTTCCCGTTGCTCAGTCTTTGATTTTCTATGATGTATTTTGTATACTGTTGTCTGTCTTTTGATCGTTTTTAATTTTTTGCCATGATATTGTCAGTTTGGTTTCGACTTATGAGTTTGAATGTTCCTTTTATATATTTCGTTTCTCTTTTTCAAACATTCAAAGGTTCCAAACAGGACGACTTTGCTATTATTTCATTACTAAATGACTTTGGTTTTTATTTAAACTACTGTATATAGATTTGAATTTTCCTCAAAATGTGTCTTTATGTTAAATGTCATCCACCTCGGAAATCATTACCACAAAAAAAAAAAAAAAAAAAAAAAAATCGCAAATGAAGTGATAATTTCAAGAAAATTAAATTTGCCATGATCGGTTTGAAAAACCTAATTATTTCAGTAAAATATTATCTTAACATAAATTCACCATATGTTGACATGTCCAAGCATTCAACTCCGAATGGTCCATTACGATGTAAAATCTCATGAAGTATAATTCCAACAGAATATATATCTGCGGCTTGATTAGCAGCTTGAGTTAAAAGATGAAACCCTTTTATTATCTCTGGTGCTGACCATAGTCTGTCTTAAAATATATAGGAAGTATCTACTTATTATTAAATCATAATTGTTGCATACGTCATTATGAACAGAGATATATAAGAAAATATAATTTCATAAAGAAAATTAGTCTTTTAATACCTAACGCAATAATTTCGTTCAGTTATTAATAACAATGTCACGTATTTTGTTGCAATTATTTTATGTTTTCAGCTATTTGTTCCATGTTAATGTCCTTGAGAAACATGTTTTAAGAATATCTTTATGAGTGAGTATTTTGTAGAGTAAGAATAAAGTGATGACATAGTAGTATCTCTACACTTGTAAAAGTAACCACGCAAACAGTAACTGTATTATTTTAGTAATTATAGGCCTGATGTATATATTGACTTTTTACAATGTAACATCCTTTAATTGTTCAATTCTATTTTGCAGTATTGGAAATAAAAGAAGGTTTGCAGAAATAAATTTTCAAATATTCAGAATGATAGATGGCACTCATTATTCATTCATGTTATGTTATTCTTATCAAATCTGATAGGACAATAATGTCGAACATTAGTGCTTTACAATTTTAAGTGAGAATCAAGCTAGGAGAATGTATTTTTCTTCTATCTAGATGATATAATAACAGAATACCACTGTTTACAAATTGATCAACCTCAATTCATTTCAATTTTAACTATTTTTGTTAATTCTAGAAATGTTTCTGGTTGACGGTGTTATTCAGCGCATTAACGTAGTTAGGTCTTTTTTCATAAAACTTTCATTTCCGATCGCTTCGACAATAAATTTGCTAAGCTATTGGAAAAATAGCTCAGTAAATTTAGAATGGTTATAACTGTTGGCTATAACGCGGTCTATTTTGATGATGATGTAATGTATACAAATTCTTATGTTTACCTCTATCTGATAAGTCCTTGTATTTTAGCCATTCGCGTGGTCCATAATCACCTAGCTTTAAAACAAACCGACCGTCCACTAAACAATTTGAACTTTTAAGATTTCCATGATAGCGTAAACAACTTCTGGATAAGTATTCTAACCCCTGTAAAATATATGATCAATTTTAATTCACAGAATTAAAAAAAACCACGATAAATGAAAAAATAAAAAGACAAAAAAAGAGACGTTACCAGAACAATTGTATTCTTCATGTGTAAATTAAAATATTTGTTCTCATCGGTTGAATTATTCTACATAATAAATTAAACGATTATATAGGGGTATGAGTCAATCAGACAGAAACCAACACAATAAAACAAATGCATCCTGATGTCAATATACAGTGTAGATCTCCAACTCTAGACAAGAGTTCATATCTTATAAAAAATAAAATTGAGAATGGAAATGGAAATGGGGAATGTTTCAAAGAGACAACAACCCGACCAAGTTACAAAAACTATGAATATATACCTGGATTGTCTATCAGAAAAAAAACCCAATGTGATAAAAAGAAAGACAACAACTGGGAAGAATTGTCGAATTGGAACAGGTACAAAACATTTATATTATTCTGGTACTTCACTTTCCTAATTTTACGTCAATAAGCAAAAAGGTATAGAGAAATATGAAAATAAAAGGTTGTACATTTCCAAAGTTATGTTACATATTCAAGAAAGATTTACCTCTAGAATGTCCCACATAAGACAGTACTTGAAGTCCCAATCCAAATTTATGTCCTCGTTCTCCAGAATATCCTGAAATATCAGATGGCAATAGTTAATTCAATAGTCCAAATAATTTTGACGCTTCCTGATTATTTAAACTATCAGCAAGGCCAATATTTGAAATTAGTCATTATATTAGTTGACAAATAAGACATCACCAATATAATCTTTGTTTTGATCCGACCTAGGATAAATTCTACGAGCGTACACCATAGCGTATATGCTACCATGATACAATGATAGCATGATAGTTTTGAAAACTGACCTTTTTCATTTTTGAATAACGTAAATCAAATATAAAGTTGTTTGTTAAATATGAAAAAAAAAAGAAATCCCAAATGTACATTTTAAGTCATTGCAATCATATTGTAAAACACAATGAACACTCCTTTTTAAATAATTTTGTTCATTAAAAATACAAGGACAGAAAAATTGTAAGTTTTACCTAAACGATCGGATTTCTGCAATTGAAATAATAATGAACGGAAAATGTATATTCTTGTTTCAATACTAAATATCAAAGATATAAGAATAATCTGTTGTATATATTTTTGGCTGAAATACTAGTAATCATTTTGAAGAAGCCAAGTATTTTGTCAACATTTCTTTTAACAAAACGAAATAGATATCTTAAGTCATTAAATGCCGAAAATAATTTATAGTTGTTGAAGAATATTCATATTTGAAAAGGTAAATTACAAACCATCAGACTTCCTTTAGAACAAAACTCTGATACGTATAACAGCTCTGGTGGGTCTATTACAAAGCCAACCGTCTTTACGATATTATTATGATCCAGCTCTCTCATCTGTTTGTTAAAAAAATGAATTAATTCAAAATTACTATTTAAACATTATAATCGCCTACTGAGGTCTTTCTTTAAATTTTACACTGAACACAACAAACTATTCATATAACATAAAATTGAGAATGGAAACAGGGATTGTGTCAAAGAAACAACAACCCGACAAAAGAGCAGAAAACAGCCCAAGGCCACCAATGGGTCTTCAACATAGCGAGAACATCCCACACCCAGAGGCGGGCTTCAGCTGGCCCCTAAACAATAATGTATACTAGTTCAGCGAAAATGGACGTCACACTAAACTCCGAAACATATAACTGAACCAAAATTAAAAAACATACAAGACAAACAAAAGCCAGAGGTTCCTGATTTGGGTCAGGCGTAAAAATGCGGCGGGGTTAAATATGTTTTGTTAGATATCAACCCTACCCCTATACCTCTTGCCAATGTGGAATAAATAAACACACAGCAATACGCACAGTAAAATTCATCGATGTAGTTTGCAAATTGCCTTTTGTTTTTTTGTTCTATTTTGTTGATGTCACATTGATGGATATTCAAAATATACTTTTATACATTTGTGTATTTGATAAAAGAAGTCGGAAACAGGCAACACATCAGAAGGTCTTGAATTTGTTGTTTTGATGAACATCAGAGACCTTGCAGTTACTATTGCACAACGAAAAGCAACAAATTGCTGTCCCTTTTTATAAAATGTTACACCCTTGTTCATCGAGAAAATGACGCCACATTTACTTCCCCTTGCACATCGATCTGATACCCCTCTTCCCTAAGTTATTTATCCACACACACACACACACACAAAACCGGAAATGATTGCGATAAAATCATTTTGTACAACATATATATATATATTCAAAATGCGTAATAAAACACATTGTTTTGTGCCTTTTCTTTACTGATGAGCAAGTGATACCAAAAATCGTGAGATAGTCAAACGAAACATTCACACAATAAAGATAATAAAAAAGATAATAATACTAAAATGGTAATAATAATAATAATAATAAAAATAATAATAATAATTTGCACTCAATAATGATTATAAATATAACGAAAGAACTATAAGAAATATAATTGGTTTGTATTCATAAGACGTATTTCCGTTTTAAATGTTCTTTCATACCTGGCGCAATTCCTTAAAATTCGGCATTTTATCTGATTGCATCTTTGTGTACGATCTAATGGATACAAGTGAACCCTAGAAAATAATAAAAGATATTGAGCATATCAAGACCGTACAAATACAGGTTATACCAAAAACATTAAGATCAAATTAAGTTTTTGCGCAAAGTTATAACAAACAAATACAAGATCAGATGATAAATAAGAAACAATAAATTGTTGAATATCATTCCCAGTCGAACATATGTTCTATCGTTTTGAGTTTAAACGAACGATCCTATCGATCGAACGAGAGATCTAGAGTGAGTGTGAGAGGACAATTTATATTCAAAATATTTAGATGTTGTATATCTTAACTGTGGAAGACAATGAATGAAAGTTATGCTTCATTCTGTACATAAGACAGGTCATTACAAGTCAATTTTTAGGATTTTATTCTCCCTCCCTACGTTCGTCCAAATATAAAGTTATTTTATTCTCTGGCCAAAACAAAAACAAAGATTCAATGTAGCTGTGCTATTTGCTTTAACAGTTAATTTTTATATTTCAAATACAACACAGTATGAAAGTGATAAGGAGAATTACAAATATAAGTGCCCATCAAAATATGCGTGTAAAATTACAGTACATGTATGTATCTTAGGAATCAGTAATTTTGATTGGCAGACGACAATTGCAAGGCAATCAAAAATATATTTTATTTCCAATTGCAAAAATGCAGCATTTATGACTGCACGTGCTTCCAATGACAACGTCATAACAATGCAAATTAATACAAACCAAAAAATTTGTTACAACTCGTAATCTCATGGCTGCATCAGCAACGAGTTGTATGTAGAGTCTGGCTTGCTAAATTATAAGCTTGGTATCTTTGATGATGATTTGCAACTAGTTCTTTATCACTAAACATCGTGTCATAGACTGGAGATTACAATTTTAATTGATAAAAATATGTGTAACAAGAAATGAGCAGTCAAATTGACATCAAACCGGGCTTTCTGAATTTTGAAAACACTTTCAGGCTTATTTGACTCGCAACGTTCTGAACCTATTTTCAAATCTATCAAGGACCATAACTGCTGAACGACAAAAGTGAAAATTATCAATTTGAAATTGATCACGATTTGTCATAAGTAACAACATATTGAAATTTAAAAAGCATTGGTCGGACGGTTCATAGACTATTATACGGAAATGACATAAGGTGCAATTCTAAAACATATCAAGGACCATAACTCCTAAACGGTAAAAATGAAAATCGTCAATATTTAACTTGACCTGTATATTTTAATCAATAACTACTATTAGAAATGGAAAAGCAATGGTTGAACAGTTCATAAGTAATTGCCACTAAAACGACAAAGTGTCATTTTAAATATACCAAGGACAATAACTCGTCATTTTTGTTAAAGTGAAAATCGTCAATATCTAAATTGATCTCATTTTTGTGACAAGTAACAACAAAATTAAATTTGAAAAACATTGTTTGAACGGTCCGTAAGTTATTGCGCGGAAACTGTTGACATCCGCCAGTTGTCCGCACCGCTGGCCGTACTTCACCAACTTAATAACCTGATTTTTCTTTCTGAAAACCTGGTTAAAATCTAATGTTCCAAGTACCTAAAAAAAATGTTGACCTATACGATATTGGCGATTTTTACATTGTGAGTTTTGATAATAAAACGCTACGCATGATTACACATTTTACGCGTTTGTCTTGGCGTTGACAAATAGTTAGACTTCTTGTTTAAGAAATCCTTAATTATGCCGTCCAAGAATAAAATTACCTTGTAGTATGCAGTTTTTGTCATTCTGGTATCTACCGTTTCCTCGGACGGGTCTGATCGAATTGATACCTGCAATGCAATATGCACAGTTGTTGATATTTGTTTTAATATTTTTTGTCACATATATGTGTATGACGAATTAAAGTAAAGTACTAAAATATATACATTAATATACATATTGTTTCTGTTTTCAGAAGAAGGTAAATGCAATGAAAAAGTTAAAATATCATTTTTTTTCATTTTGATCTTGAATGTATTTTTTTGATGACATAAGCAACACCAAGTGTGCCCCTAGTGGAGCAGGAACTATTATCTATCTGGAGAACCTGACTTCATCCTCAACTTTTGGTGGAATTCGTCTTGCAAGGTCTTAGAAATGTATATTAATCTTTTGGAATGTTATTTATCTTCTTCTTGTTATTCTTTTAAGCCATGTACTTGCGTGGTTTTTTTTCTACTTATACACTATTATTTTCAATATTGACGATATGAATGTGAAGCTTTTAGCACTCCAACGTTCTGAATAATTACTTAATAAATAAATAAATAAATAAATAAATAAATAAATAAATAAATAAATAAAATAAATAAATGATCGACTTGATTGATTGATTGATTGATTGATTAAATGAATGAATAAATGAATAAATGAATAAATGAATAAATGAATAAATGAATGAATGAATGAATAAATGAATGAATTGATGATCGAATGAATGAATGAATAAATGAATGAAATAAATTTAATAGTTTCAAAATAACTTACCCTCGACATTGACCACATAGACCGTTCGGTTATGGACAACTCAGACCTTTTAATTCTCCATATACTTTCACTTTCTTTTGTTTTTATTTTCCTATAAGATCATGTAATTAAATATATATTTGTAGGTAGGCGAGTATGTTCATATAACACATTATTTTTTTAAGATGGATGTAAATTTACTATTAATGATTGTTCTAATAGCAGTTACAGGAGGGAAGACAGCCTAGGTGCCATGTGCAAAACTTTTCATGTCACGTAGTACGATTTCAGCTTCCGTTTGGCTATTTTAAATATGGTAAAAGATCGATTTGTTCATGTTTTGATATCAAATGTACTGTATTGCATTTATGAAAAATATAGTTTCACATTGAAAGATTTTTTATGATCAAAAATTACTTTCACAAAAGAAAATTTGTATTTTTTTATATTTTGGGGGTACATTTTATCAATAAAGATTATTTCTCGAAATGGCAGGAATTTTTATTCGATAAAATTAAAAGGCACATTTTTTAAATATTTCGTTATAATAAACATTGAAATTCAATACAGTTAAAGAAAATCGTTCATTCAACCTAAAACATAAAAGGTATCTTAAAGTCTCCATATGTTGCTGCAAAGTAAGACGGTTAAAAACGACGATTTTCAAATGAAATATCCAAATATATTTGTCAAATCTGTGAGCGAAAACGTTAATCTTAGACAAAAAAAAACCTTGTTTTGTGTATTTTAATCATATTCATGATAAAATGAAAAATGTTTACCCGAAAAACTATTTAAAATAATTTTTTTTACTATAACTGTGTTCGTCATTGTGTTTTCTCGTTTTTTTTGTACTGATAAATGGAGAAAGAGTCCAATAATTATAATTTTCATTTTGTATTCAAAATGTTTTGTTCAGAAGAACAATCTGAAAATCAATTAAATGAATTCCATAAACTGTTAACACAGAGATATGTTTCGCCTATTTGTTATTTTGATAATGCAAATGCTGAAATTAAAATATCCGTATTTTAACATGTAAGTTGTGCAAATATTCAAAGTCAATGAACCATGACTGAAGATAAAGGACTAAACAATCTCCATGGAAATGAGATGTGCCAATGCTAATACAACTGCCTACCAAATAGTACTGAAAAAGTTTCAAGGTCAATGAACCATAATGAAGGGGTGGGGTTATATAATCTCCATAAAAACAAAACTTGGAAATGCATTGGCAAATGCCAATACATTTGCATACCAAATATCATTGACTTAACATTAGTGGTTCATCTTAAACTGACCGAATCACAAACTAATACATGTAAACAAGCAAACGTTTCAAAGTCAATAGACCATGACTGAGGGCCTTACCAAATATTCTCCATGGAAATGAGATGTGCTAATGCTTATACAACTGCATACAAATTGTCATTGACCTACCACTAACGGTCCCCTTTAAACTGACCTAATCACAAACTGATAGATTAAGCACAAATTTCAAAATCAATAGACCATGACTGAGGTGGCAGGGCTAAATAATCTCCATGGAAATGAGATATGCGAATGATTATACAACTGCATACCAAATATCATTGACCAACCACTAGTGGTTCCCCATTTACTGACCTAATCACAAACTAATACATGTAAACTAAGCAAAGTTTCAAAGTCAATAGACCAAGACTGCGGGGGCGGGGCTAAATAATCTCCATTGTAATGAGATGTGCCAATGCTAATACAACTGCATACCAAATAGCATTGACCTACCACTAGTGGTTCACCATAAACTAGACCTAATCCCAAACTCATACATTGTTGAGGCCGCCTCCGCCGACGCCTGAAACAACATACCTATGTCTCGCTTTTTGACTCCATCAAGGCGAGACAATAAACAAGTATTCAATTTATATCCATGCCAATCGAAATAAGCTCCAGAGAATTAGCAGTTTAATAAGGGGTAAATATGTATATTCCCAACAAATAATGACAATTACCACGTTTGTTTATTATGTATACAAGTATGTATATAGTATAATCATTACTGCCTATGTTTATAACCTCATTCAACAAATTTCGAATGTCGAGGTGATGTTCACACCACGAAGGTATTATAATAAATGACACATTAGCACTGCAACCGATTGATAATACATAACAAATCTGCGAGACATGTACAGAATGTCGTTCCTCCTCTGAACAGCAGTAAAAATAAGACACATCATAATATCAATTATGATAATAACAATATTAATAATAACCATAATATTAAAATAATATTAATGAAATAACAATAATAATGATAATAACGAATGGTAGCAATATTAACAATAATAACAACAACAATAGAATACACTTTATGATATTAAATTGACTAAACTATTGTTAAAGAGAGAGACTACAATCCCGTTTTATTCTTTTATTAATTTCAAAACATATAGTTTCCTATAACAATGCAACGAATGTGAGTAGTATACGCCATGATATGAAGGTACGCAGATGCTTTATTAATATAAAATGAGGTCACATTTTGATTATGTAATTCAAATCCGTATTTACTTTTATATCATCTAATGGAGAGCTTAAGTTGTTGTGATGTTTATTCGGACCACTTGACGACTTTTGTTTTCTTCGGATTACTGATGGTTGAACAGAGTAAAAGTGTTTGATAAAAATGTATCATAAACTAACACACAAAAAACAACATAAGTGAACATTTGCTTCAATAAAAATGAATATCGAAAGTCCTTGCACGTTAAATGTGACAATAGTCATAGGTAAAAGGACTGTGGTGTTATAGCCACAATCGTATACAGGATTGGTTCAACACATTACACAACTATGTTGACAATCAACGAATGTTCAAACAAGAAATCCCCCAAAAATAGACTTTTTATTGAACGTTTTAGAGAAGTTTTTTCTTTGTAACAAGTTTGTCATTCTATATTTTAGTAATGCTATATGATTATGCTGCATTATTTTAATACTCAAATCATACTATTAATTAAGAAAGGTCAAATGTTGAACGTTCTTTTACTCAAGTTAACAAATAACGCCCAAATAAAATAAATAACACAATTTGGAAATAATAGTTAATAAATACAAGACATAATATATATTTTATAGAAATGAAATAGGGCGAATATGAATGAAACCCCATATATGTACATGTAGGGACAAGAATCACCGATAAAGAGCATTAAGAGTATGAAAGAGGGACGAAAGATACCAGAGGGACAGTCAAACTCATAGATCGAAAACAAACTGCCAACGCCATGGCCAAAAATAAAAAGACAAACAGACAAATAATAGTACAGATGACACAACATAGAAAACTAAAGACTATGAGTCATCATTATAAGTACGTCGGCAGTCGTGGTCGAGCAGTTTCATGTACGGACTAAAGACTATGAAGTTTATTTAATAAACCTCGCACCAGGTCGAATCCTAAATGTGACATTCGTTTTGAGGGGTAAAAGTTCGTTATCAATTTGATTGCCAAAAGTATAGTAACAAGTAAAACAAACATGCAAAATCCGCATTTTTCAAAATTTCGGGTGATCATCAGGTAGCACCTGCTTTAAATTAAAACCGGATGAATCAATTGCAAGATTTATTGTAATCTTACCTAGCTACAACTTTCTGTATGATGACACTTAAGCAGATAATCAGCAGCACAACAGCAATGAAGCAACCAGTGATAATTTGAATGATTGACTGTTGGGATAATCCTGAAATGAAAGGAAACATAATCTCTAACCGTTTTAGTAAACACAAAATAATAAAAAAAGCAATAAAAGAAAAAATCACAACGGTTCACTAACTTTTTTTTTACAGAAAACAAATAGATATAAGAAAGAGCAAAAATCATGGTTTCTGAATGGTGGCATGTATTGTAAGCAACTACTGATGTGATCGTGTTCTGCAGATGTGTACGTGATCTTAAAAACGTTTTACCGATAATTATTACAATGACGATTAACAACAATGTCATCGTTTATCTTTAAAATATCTATGCAAAATGTCAATACATCTTACTCATACCACAAATTCATACTTCAAAATATGTGCTACGCAAAATTCCATGCAACATCAGTTTCAAGTACATTGAATATAATTTTCGTGTTAGAGAGTTAACCTGTACCGATGATTTATAAAATTAGTGATTCGTTATTGTAAGATCATCGGATATGACCCATTAACGTATTTTAGTGAAAAGGAGCTGCTAACAGTTCCGGAGTCCAAGAGTTTATCTCGAGTTGTTCGACCTTTAGTTCTTTGTGTAGTTGTTGTAAATTTGTGTTGTCTTTCTTTTTCTTTGATCATGATGTTGTCTGTTTTTTCGTTATCAACTATCTACGTTAAATCATTTATTTGGCAAAGTTTTAAATAATTCTTTAATTGATATTCATTGTAAATATATATCTGTTTGATAAACATTATATTGTACAAGGAGAACTTACAATAAAAAACATAAAAATTGAACTTCATGAAAAATAATGGTGATAAGGTACGACCGAGCAATAGTCACAAATCATTAAAATACACGTTAATTGGTTTTCAAATAATTAAATTGTCTTTTTTGTCAGGTGAGATATAAATCAATCACACAATCAGCCTTAGTCAGCATATATAATTACAAAGCTTGCAATATAAAGTACTTATAACAAAAATGTTGGTAGATGATAGAGGGGAAATCAAAATCAACAGTCCAAAAGGACATATAACTCCCTTGTCAAAAGGATAGACAACTCCCTTGTCAAAAGGACAGATAACTCCCTTGTCAAAAGAAAAGGGACAACGAAACAAGCAACATACCGCAATCCCTGCTTATTAAACATACCCATTTATAAGAAGGGATGCTCTGGAAGGATATTGCAACCAGTTGACTGATGCGAAAATATGAATGGATTCTAATTTATGTTATTTAATTAATTATTCCTTTTTAGTTAGTTTAATATACCTTTAGCACAGTATTCACCATTAAAACCACAGTATGGGTGGTCCTTTGGAGGATCCGAACTGATCCATTTTATCGGATCTTCATCATTTTCCGTAAATTGTCCTTTGTCGCTGAAGTAATATCCCACTACCTTGTGAAAAGAAATATATGTTAATTTGTTTTATTTGGACGTAAATATTAACAATACATAAAAAGGATAAAAGGAATAACCAAAAAATATTACACATCACATGAGACCGCAGGAATCAGCAGCACCATAGAAATAACTAAAAATGCTTATCATGTTTAATTTTAGACTTGATTCTCGTTTTTTTCTATTGAAGTTATCATAGTAAAAACCAGCAAGTAATATGAGTTTTAGAAAAATATTCTTCTTTTGCCACATAGGCTATACCTATGTCTGAATCATTTTACATGGATAGCCAATTACACGCCTATATTTTGGTGTTATTCTTTATCTTCCTCTACAATTTGTGTTTTGTCTGGATTTTCTGTACTTGGTTTCGAACACTACTGATCAGAAATAAATCTTCAATATTCGCAAAGAACGCATCAATTACAAATTGTTATTATGAATTTACATTGATTATATAATTCCCTTATGTACTTCTTACCTACGATGTGCTATCAAGGGTAATAATAGCTAGATGAGCAGATGTGAAGCTGACATAAATACTGTTTACGCTAAACACAAGTTAATAAATGAATGTAAATCAAATGTCATCTGAATCCTGATCATTCTTTAAATTTTATGTTTTTTAATCTTAAGAGTATCCACTTACAATACATTCTTTGTATACCTGAATGATTTATGTGGTTAAGAACCAGGAAGCTTTATGTGAACCTACTGTTAAAGTAAAGTTGTCGTCGTCACCAATTTGCTCAAACTTGTAACCTTGTTGTCTGTCACCGTTGCTATTCAGCGATATATTTCCAGTAATAGCTATCAAATTAAATATTAAAATAAATTTTGACTCATAAGGTAAATTGGTAGTTCTCATACCTTACTGAAATGCATTAATCTGTACGAGTATCGCACATTTAAATGAGGATATACAAATGAAATGCAATTAGGCTATACATATTGATTTGTTTATTTGATCAATTGTTAAAGTGGTTTTGTCATTTTTTTTCTTTTCGTAAGATGTTCGAAAACTGAAAAGCCTTGATTTTTCCTTCATTTCATACGAGTAGCAATGCAAAATTATTCAATATACCCTTCCTTCTTTTTCAATGGAATGTTTCTTTTATTTGATTTAAGAAATGCGATGCCGGATTCATTTTTATCATTTCTAGCACACAATTTTATTGCCAACAGTCTGCATTACCTGATTGATTCTAAGTGTTGTAGTACACCAGTCATTATTTTGAGTTGTCTAGATCATGATCGACTAATCAGAGTTTTCATAATGTTCTTTGGTTGTTTACCTGTAGTCGTTTTCCGTTCTGGTCTTTACGTCTATGGTTATATTTTGTATTTTCTATTGTAAACCGGGGCACCTATGTTCAACCCTGGTTTATTGTTAGGTAAGATTTTCTCAATTGATGGTTACTGTGAATTGTTTGTCCTTTTTCTGACTGTTTAACTATGATGTTGTCTGTCTAAGTTCAACTCGGTTTATAGTTGCGTTTGGTTTGCTCAATTAGTTTTTCCGCAATGTTTTTCCTGTTCTAACTGTGTTTGCCATGACGTTGTTTGTCCTATTTTTATTTCTGATTACCTCCCTTGGTGGTTTGAATTATTTTACACTTACTCTGGTACTGGTTTCCCCAAAGACGATGAGCTATGGTTTCTCCATCATGTATATCCGTGTTATTACTAAGTGATAGGTTCAAAGAAAGAACAAATCCATACATTGCTTCGTATAAATTTGCAGCAGGGTAGGGTACCTGTTAGTATATGTTCAAAACTGTCGAATGAAATACTAAAAAGACCTAAAAGTCAATATATAATACATAAATATGTTTGATATTCCTTCTTTGGTTAATAGCTTGGGGCCTCGGTGGCCGAGTGGTCTAACTAGTCGAACTACTGTTTGACTAACCTGTCAACACTGAGAATGTGAGTTCGAATCCCACACGTGGCGGGTGCGCTCGACTCCAATCTTAATTTACTAGGCTAGATAGTTTTCCTACAGAAGGTCGGTGGTTCTCTTTGGGCTCTCCGGCTTCCTCCACCAATTACAACTAACCGCCACGAAATAGCACAATAGTGTTGATATGTTGTTAACCGGCGATGACATACATGTTGCTGATTATAGGTAAATGCAGATGTCTTATCAAATTCAAAAATTTAAAAACCAAACAATTGTTTGTTTTTTACATTAAACAAAACCTGAAATAACCTTTCACCTTCGTTGGTCGAGAGTTTTGTCAATAGCAGTCATATAAAATCTCCTCATTTTAGTTTGACGCAAGCAATTGAAAAAGAGATTGATTAATCAACTTCAGATATACATGTCTTAGAAATAACGAACACTAAGTCTTGCTATGGTTACATGTACTTAGATTAATTAAAACACTTTATTAGTTTCCTTCATCAGGAACGTTCAATTCCAATCATTTCAAAAGCAAGAGTCTATAAGACCAAAACCTACAAAGAGCTATATTACATGACTAAAAGGCAACTACAAAATCAGCTAAGGTACATTTTGCCTGAGGGAGTTAAAACTTTAGTTTCTCGGTTTTTCCAATTTTCTTATTCAATTTTTTCAGAAATAAAAAACAAGATTATTTTTGTTTCAATGTATCTTCTAATCCTGTTTTCTAGTATATTGCTTAGTCATAAGAAAAGTAGTAAATAAATATGCAATTGTATTTGGTGTTTCAATAATTTTAAAAAGGGAAACAGAGAGGGGAAAACATTCAAAATTTTTAAAAGGTATAAAAGATGATGTGGTATGAGATTAACTATTCAAAGAAAAAAATTCTATATGCATTATACACATTAATATACAAGTATCCTGAAAAGAAGAAATACGAACTTACTTCTTCGTCCACCGCATATGTATAATTGAATATGTCATGGGATCTCTGTTTGACTTTTTCTATAAACTGTGCGTATTCATACGTTCTCGGAGTGTAGTAAGACACAAAAATTATATTTTTGTAAGCCTCTTTAGCAATATTATCGTCACTGTTATTCTGAAGAAGACAAACACCAAATAATTCCTCGCTCAGCATGATAGTGAAGCCTATCAGTATGCGATGGTTACAATGTACCTCTTGGGAGACAAGATCCAAACTGGAAAACTTGCTAAATATTTTTTAGTTGGTTCTGCCAAAGTTTTATCTTTAAATATTATTTGCTCTTTGTATCCGTTGCAAATAACTTTGTCTTTTAACTTTTATCGGTCAAGACCAAACGGGTTTCTGTATTTAATCAAAAATTCTTATTCCGGACAACATGCATGCACTTCAAAGTGTTTTGTAGACTTGTGTTTGTTTGTTCGTCTTTTTATCCTTTTTTCTTCTTGTGATAAAAAAAAATGGTATTGTGTTTTGTAATTAATAGTTTTAAGACAAACTGTAATTATCTTAATAAGTGTAAAATGCGTGCAAACAAAATATCGTAATCAAATTAGAAATCGTTCGCGTAGATTTGTGTTCATGATTTGTTAAAATTGTAGGTTAACTTATTTCTCATTTCAAAGGTATCTCAACAACTCTATCTATATAAGTCGTCGAAACAAGATTTTTGTTACAAGTTGTAATTGTGTTTGACCATTGATTTTCTTGTTTGATTTGTTTAAACATTTTGCAATGTTGGGGTCTTTGTAGCTGACTATACTGTATGGATTTTTTCTCACTGTTTAACAGTGACCGAAAGTTGCTTTCAACCACGTCGTTTGGACTTTGTTATACAAGTGTGTAACATTGGCAATCACACCACATCTCCTTATTTTTATGTATAGGCATTGTTCACATTCAAAATGTCAGCGATTGTTTGGCACTCACGAAAATATGGTGCAGGTTAGACGTTCGTAAAAGACCAGACATACGGTTTACAATTCCTTTTGAAAATGTAATAAAATAAAATTTTGACTATATGACTTTATTCAAAATATTTAGCAAAATTGTTTTACAAGAAAGTTTTTTTTTTTATCTGATAAGCAATCTAATTAATTCATAGATAAAATTTTAAATGCCTTCTACTGTAAAAAAAAGAATATAAAAATAGATAATAAGACACATTTTCAAAAGTATAGAAAAATAGTTTCTTCACAATAGATTTAGAGGTTTGCATTTGTGGAAAAAGAAAAAAAAGTAACTACAGAATATTTGGATTACCATTTTCCAAGATATATCGCCAAATACATTTCGTTGAGAGTAGTAATATATACAAATGAATTGGTAATCTCCATTGGTCATTCCCATTTCATGTGCCAAGAGCATTACTTCCCGCAGAGTTTCACCTCTCACCGCCAAAACGATAACTTGAAAATAAAACCATAATGCATTGGAAAATAATGATTGTGTTAATGTTAAAAACAACGTTACTAGTTAAGAGATGTGCGGGAGACAAATATTTGCAAACAACATTTGTGAAAAAATAATTGACCTTTAAGGTGGTACCAAACACGTTGACTAAAATTAATTTGGCTCGTTTAATTTTCATAAAATTTTGACAAAATATTTATTTTGACCCTTTGACAAAAATATAAAAAATTCAAAAAACTTGAACCACACACTTTATCGGAAAAAATTCATGGGATAAATAGCAGTTTGACAAACACTAATTTTGATCATTGAGAAGCTTAATATTTCCTTCACAATAGAACGTGATCAACACGTTCAGCTGATGTTTACAGAGATATCTCCCTGTAGTGTTATGTACCACCTTAAGAATTCGAAATGATTGGTTAATTACCTATATTTCTTTTATGTCAAACATTTTCTCCAAAATCTGAGTCTAGTTTATTCTATCAAAAATGAAAAAACCCAACTCAGTTGTTATAGAAATATTCGTGTCAGTGAAAGACATATACACATCAATGATTAAAGAAGTTAAATTTACATTGAATCACAATGCTGGTATATATAGTATAAATTTGAACACTACGAAATTAGTGGGAAAAAATGTTAGAATAGATAGCGATTTGAGCATATAATGGTCATAAAACTGGGTGGGCACTTCAGTACCAATTAGAAAAGGGATAGGTTAACGAAGTTAACTTAACGGGCGTATACTTCTATATGGGGAGCAATTAAGGCGACAGTAGTTTACCGGTGTTTAAATCTCATAAATCTTCTTAGAAGACAAAGTAACAAACACAAACTGAGGGAATCGCACGAGCTCCGGGTGTGTCTAAAAGATTGCAAGACCGACTTCATTATTGATACTTCAATAATTGCTTATCTTCGTCATTCAGTATTGTTGATAAAGCGTTCCTTTGGGTTCAGTTTTTTAATTCCATCTATCAAGTATCAAACAACAACAACCACATTAAAAACAAAGAATAAAAAAAGGAAAAAGATTAAATTTCATGTTCATTAATGTTCATTGATTGCAGTTTATGAAAGACAAATTAATAATGTCATTTCTAGATTCTTTTTGATTTATCATCGTCTTAAACTTTGTCTAACCTATTGGTTCAGCAGTCTGCAACTTTATTCTTATAAGGTTAGCCTGTGATAACTGGAAGTTGTCTGTATTCTTACAAACAGTTAATAAAACACTAGTCCAAATAATTATGACGTCTAGAAAGGCTATTTTTTATATTTGCTCTTACGCCTTCCTACGAAGGAAGGCGTCCAATTTTTTTTTTTTTTTTTTATTAAAAAGCCGTACATACGTCACAATTATATGGACCGATAACACACGTGAGAAGCTACAATGTTTTTTTTTTGCAAAGATCTTTCAGATTAGAATAACGATCTATGTTATAAGTTATACTTTAATTTAAATCGGTATCAGTTCACTTTGAATACAGGAATTAACCCATGACTTGTTACAACATACATCATTATAACAAAACAAAAAAGAAATAATTAGAATAAATATAATCATTTTTTTTTCAGATTTATTATTTTTATAGTCATTTTTATCATTTTTTAAGCATTATTTATAATAAAAGGAAAAAAATGTTCACTGACGACAGTCGTAGCAGCGTCATATTTATGACTATCTTAGAACAACTTTGATTTACATTCTGTGACATATCATATGATAGTCATAAGATGGTCATAACATTTGTCCTAAGATAATCTTATGACATATCTTAAAATACTTTCTAATGCAGCCCTGGAAAAAAAATATGAAACTAGGCAGTACTCTTGTACGTAAGAGGCGTTATTCGAGTTCGGTATTTTTATTTATAATTTTTTTTTATCGTATCATAATAAGAGGCTTAGATTTGACGTCATTGGAAACATATCGACTTACTGACGTACGTTTCACTTTCTTCACAACATTTCTTTTATAATTGACACTTCTGCAGTATGTTGTTTTCAACGAAAGGAAAGGAAGAATAATAAATCAATAAATCATACAATAAAACAACGTTATAAAGAAGTTATTGATAAGCGAAACTAAAGAAATACAATTCTTATATATCATATTGAACCGTTTCCGTTGTCTAGAGGTAGAGTGCTCGCCTAAAGTGCTTATGGTGGTGAGTTCGGTCCAAATTCAAAATCAAAGATTTAACAAATGATAATTGATTTTTCTCTGCGAAGCATGCTTTCAGTAGTAAGAGCAAATCGTTCAGCTAGAAATTACATTTTATGTCAAAATCAGATCTGTGAAATGTGGCCTTAGATCATTAGGAATATTAAAACAAATCGAGTTGAGGAACAAAAACAAAACATTTTTAAATGTCATTCTTTTTCGGCTAGTGAAAAGTAAAATAACAAAAATACCGAACTCCAAGGAAAATTCAAAACGGAAAGTCCCTTATCAAATAGCAAAATCAAAAGCTCAAACACACCAAACGAATGGAAAACAAGTGTCGTATTCCTGATATGTACAGGCATTTCCTTTTGTGTTATTTACAAATTTAATTGTTGAGATTAGCAAATCCAAAATAATTCATGACTTCAATCAGATAAATTCATATGAAAAACATTTAAATGACAAAAATAATTTAACTATTCAAGCTTATCAAAGATATCCAAAAAGTATGCTTTAATAACGCATGATTAAAAAAAGAGGGACGAAAGATACCAGAGGGACAGTCAAACTCACAGATCGAAAACAAACTGACAACGCCATGGCCAAAAATAAAAAGACAAACAGACAAATAATAGTACAGATGACACAACATAGAAAACTAAAGACTAAGCAACACGAACCCCACAAAAAAGTGGGGGTGATCTTAAGTGCACCGGAAGGGTAAGCAGATCCTGCTCCACATGTGGCACCCGTCGTGTTGCTTATGTTATTACAAATCCGGTAAATAGTCTAATTCGGTAGGTCACATTCGTGAAAAGGGAAGGGTATTGTAGTTACGATACAAGGAACATATCCGATATCATCTGTGAAACGGTTATTCCATAACGGTCAACCAACTCGTGATGGGGTCCGTAAAATTTCAATTGTATTACACAATTGTTAGATGTATAAAAAATATATTCATACAAACACAATGAAGGTAATAGTTTAATTACTAAAACATAATTATTTTTCTCAATTCATACGTATTGATGAAATGGGCCAAACTATTCTTTTTCTTACGAGGCATATACAATCAAATAAATAACTCTTAATGTTTTGAACTGTTTCAAATAGATATAAGAAGATGTGGTATGAGTGCCAATGAGACAACTCTCCATCCAAGACACAATTTGTAAAAGTAAACCATTATAGGTCAAAGTATGGCCTTCATCACGGAGCCTTGGCTCACACCGAACAGCAAGCTATAAAGGGCCCCAAAAATGACTAGTGTTAAACCATTCAAACAGGAAAACCAACGGTCTAATCTACATAAAAAACGAGAAACGAGAAACACTTATGAACCACATCAACAAACGACAACCACTAAACATCAAAAGACCACAAAAAAACAAGCAGGTTTACATCACTACTTAGCTGCTTAATTTATTCCATGTACAATGTTTATTTGCCAAGAATAATCAACTTGGCCCTGGTTTTTTCTAATTCAGTAAATTAACTTGTTTCATTGTATTTAATTTTACAAATGTCATTGTGATATATACTCTGTTTGATACATTATTTAGGACCATTTGCGTCTGTTGTATTCGCAAAATCTTAAAACATTATCATATGAGATTTAATCGGTCGTCCCACTGTCTGTATCAATGTGCTCAGATCTTAATAAAATTACATATCACGGCATTTTGACGTCAAAAACATTGACCCGGCCTTAATAACTTTGACCAGAACATATCACTGACGTCATATTGAATGAACCGACGTTGATAAGTTTGACGCGAACTTATCAAGTCATCTTCTGGTTTGCTTGTGAAACAAAGAAAACAGTTGTTTCTATCATGCAAAATACACAAATACAAACTGATAATCGGTACATATCGGTACACCGTATATGTAGTCTAGAGATCACATCGTTTGAAATGATAATAAAGATGAAAGCAAAAACTTGATAAGAATATATTTTATCATAAAAAAAAGTCGTTCTATTAACAACCCGTCAGCGATCATTTCTGACATTTACGAAATAGGTCAACGTTATATCAAACGCTTTTTTTCTTCTTCAAAATATGCGCATATGAAAACTTTCAGGGAGTTCAGTAGCAATTATTTATAATCTTAGTGTTAATCGAAGCTGCCGCTTTAAAAGATGTATGTATATAACACGAATCCTTACGTCTACATGGTATTTTGAACAATCAAACTTACTTCTTGATTCTGCAGCAACATTTTTCACTATTTCCGGTAATGATTGTTCACCCTCTGAGCCATATGTATGGACTGCTGCAATCGTCATATTCTTTTTCGTTGCTATTTCATCTATGGCGTCACGGGTCAGCATCCAAATCTTGTCTACATGATACTGACTTATGACACTGAAGCGCTTCCATCCAAACGCATCCATCAATCCTGTCGTAGCGAGACCAACCTTGTCAAATGTTCCAAGAAATCTTGTCAACGTCTAATAATGAAAACATTCATATGAACATTTAGCTAACTGAAACTCTTTAAAGACTCTGAATTTTATATTGTATTATAGAAAAAACAGTTTTCATTGAAATATTCATGTCAATAAAGTATACAAAAAATAAATAAAATGACTTAGGTCTTTGCTTGGATGACCTGCAACTTAACCGGGTATCACCAGCCTAGTAGCCAGTATTTCGGTACCGGCATGAAAATAAAGATATTGTGTGATGTTACAAAATTTTTGAAACTATTTTAAATAAAGGAATATAGCCCCGTCATGCAAAAGCTCAGATTCCATGGCCCGGCTTTGACTATTTTTTTTGTGTTCTCTTTGGTTTATAAGCTTTCATTTTTTTCAGTTTTAGATTTTCAAATATTTTGGCCTCGAGCATCACCGAAGAGACATTTATTGCCGGAATGCGAATCTTGTGCAGTCAAATTGGTACCGTTAATGTTATTAAGTTAAAGAGTGTAAATATTATTCATTATCTGAATATACAAAATTTGACATGAAGATATTAATATTATTGAATAATCAATAAAATCCAGAAACAATTATTAATCGAAAATTTAAATCAACTTATATCAATTAAGTCGTGCAAGTATTGAAGCAATGGCTACTTGGAGAACAGCTCCCTCAGTGTGTGTTAGTATTGTAACGATTTAGTACACGCGAGATGTATTCCTCGAATATTATTCAGAATTTGTGATCCTCAATTAATATCTTAAGTTTCTCTTAAAAAAAATTCAATCATAATAATAACGTAATAAGCCATAAAATTACAACTAATCTTGCATCTCAGAAGCATTTCAAAATACATTTTATACCTACTCACAATCAAAATTAAAAAATTAAACGTTTATACAAAAAAAATCGCTGTTTTCATTGATTTATGCAATTTGTTTTTTCCAATAAAACAATTATTGAAAAATAATTTCTTGTACCTAAATTTATAAAAACAAAACCTACTTTCATCAAGTAAATTGATTTAAGAATATTTGTACTGCCAATGGTTACTCTATAAAGCAGAAAATATAGTTACTGTTTGTATAAGCACGATATAGTAGTTTTGATTCGAGCGCCAATGATGGGTTCCACGTAGACGAAACGCGCATCTGGTGTACCAAATTATAAGCCTGGTCTGTTTTGGGAAGCTTCGTCGGTTTGATTTACAATTTTAGCAATGTCAGTTACACAATAGGTGAATCAGGTGAAGGCTATAGAATACTCCCAAAATTGTTCCAATGAACCTTCATTTTTTGCACTGTTTTTAAAATGTCGACTTTTTTTTACAATTATACGTCAGTCCGTTAGGAAAAAATAAATTTAAGATCTTCTCGAAAGTTTTTTTAGTTTTCGGTAGATAAAAAAAGACTAAGGAATTAAACCATGCCAATTTGCATACAGAAAGATAAACGAACTACCTAGTCATAAATCATACTTATTGAGCCAAAAACTACTAAGATTCCTGGAATGATGTTAACTTTAATCTAACTAACTATGATGTTACCCTGGTAAATATATAACGCATAGTGTCCAATTTCAAGACCTTAAGTATTTTTATCGTAGTGACTTCCTTGTGTATGACCGTAAAAGTCAAAATAAAACTGTAGACGAAACGCGCTTACTAAATTATAGCTTAGAATCTTTATTAATTTTTTTATTTGACATAAGCTGCTTAGTAAAGGTAATAATAGATTCAGCATATTGAATATAGCTTACTGATAAAAATTAAATAAAAAGACTTGCAGTCGATAATTGCTCAATCGATCAAATTATTGTTATGTTAACCTGAATGTTTCACGCCTTTTTTTTTAATTGTTGTGCTTGACACATTTGACTTTGTCTCGACTTTGACTAATGGCTAATGCGATGATAGTCCCTTGTAAATCATGATATTAAAATCTTTAGGAGCTTTTCATTTCACATCCGCGTTGGATTGCATTTACTTTTATCTAAAGATTCAGTTTAAATCTGTCTTTGTTTACTTACATTTTTTCTTGTTTTTTATTGTCACAGTGGCGCTCAATTCAAAAAAGTTAAAAAGGCCAAATGAACTACGAAGTTGAAGAGCCATGAGGACTCAAATTCAGAAATGTTTTGCCAAATACATCTCAGGTAATCTATGCTGCATTTGATTAACCTCTATTCATATTTGTCTTTCCCTTTTCAGATAATGAGTCCAGTATCTTTTGTCTCTTATTTGAATGTCAAAAACAAAACCAAAAGAAAAAAAGATAGCCCTAAAATATAACCCCCAAAAAGATAAGGATATCGATTCCGCATTTTGGTTGTAAAATTGTGTGTCATCTTAGATCTTTACCCCGTAACTTTTCGAGCTGAATTAAAGCGAATTGGGAGGCAATCTTTTTATTTCTAAAAAAGGATTCGGACTTTTAAAATAACTTAGTTAAAGTATGGCTACATTCCCCATTTTTAATAAGTAGCAACACGGCACAAAATAAGATTTTTCATATGAAAAGGAAAGCTTGTGTAGCGTCGATTTATGTAGTTTTCCCATATAACTGTATGTCGCAGTTTATATCAATGACCTTTAAATGTCATGGTGCTCTGTTGAGGTAAAATCATCCCCAAAATAGTCAATGTTAATACTCGACACAACTATTCCAATATTTAAACACAAAACGTGTCCTTCACAACAGAAACGAAATTTCAATCCAAATGTTTAACAAACTAATAATATAAATAGTTCTTTCTAATTAAAAAAAAAATTGTTTACCGTCCGTCGGTACACTTTGGATATGCCATACGATAACTTAAATTATATATATTGTTTTTGGCAGTCCTAGATCTTTAGATACCAGAATAGTCTTCTAGTCTGTAAATTTGGTCAATTGTGTCATACTCCCTAAGTTTTAGTTGTTTACCTTGATTTGTATCGTCCTTAATGGATGTATGAGATTTGAACTTCGGTAGACTACTGTCTAATTTACATAAACTGTGTTCATGATGACACTTATTAGTGGAACATATGTTATACCAGAGACAAGTATACAATATATGTCTCTGGTTATACGAGTGTCCCGGATCAATTATCTTTTCTGTGCTATGATTTATTATCATTTACAATTTCTTTGAGGATGATTTAGACAAGAAAAAGAAAAGACTATGTTATCATTATATTTAATTAAATCTTGTCTTTCCAATATAATGAAAGAAAAAATGTGACTTATTCGTTTATCCTTATACTGAGTATAATGAAAAAAAAGAAAAAATACATTCACTCTTTCAGTCGTTTTTCATTAATGACATAATTGTGTTATAGACTAAAGGTTCCTATTTTTTTTTTATCTCTTATGCAAGTTTCTTTTTTGAAATGTGATAAGTTTCTTTTTCTTTCTTTGGCGTATGTCTTTTTTCATCTTTTATTTTTGTTTTAAGCTGTGTTTTGGTCTTTTGTCATATTTGCGTGGTGATTATTATATAGTGTTTTTTTTTCCTCAAATTTCTCTTTTGCACCTTTGAATTCTATGTAATCTTTAAATACTAAGCCTGATTGCCCGTTTTTATTTATTTGTAAGGATTATGTCCTTCTGCAAAAACATTGACCACACCCAAAAAGATGAAAATAGGTGAGATATACATCCTTAAAAAATTACGGTGCTCCATGCGTGTTGTCAATGTCGTTGGAATCAAAAACTATTGAAATTTCAGCAAAAAATTGGTCAACAATTACAATTTTCTTCATATTTTACTTATAATACTATATTTAAATCTCGCAAAATTTTGGGACCATCTTGATCCTTAGTAAGCCTGCTCCTTTCAGCACCACACATAGTAGTGGACGTCATAAATTAGAACTTATGGTTTTGCAAACGAAATTGTAAAATTCAGGTATGCCGCAGATAAAAAACCCCGGAATTTCAAATATTAAGAATATTGTAGCTAAGTATTTTAAATGGATAGTTTCTATAACTTGCCTTAAAGGTATTTTTGTTAAGCATCTCAGTGTCTTGACAAACTCCAGAGAAACACGGTATATTGTAGTAGGCGGCCAACCGGCATACGTGGCTACATACTCCTGAGCACTGTGGTCCAATTATCACGTGGTATCTTGTCTGTGCTAGCAAATCACTCGTTTTACCTTTTAATACAATAAGAACAAATAAATCATGAAATAAAATACAGAATAAGGAGATATGGAACGATGGCTAATGCCACAACTATACTAGTCAACAAAAGAAACGATACAAGCCATGTATTTCCAATATATAATGAAATTGGATACATTGTACCAAGGTTAATGATTGCCCAATTGGTCTAATATTTACAGAGTGTTATTTTCCGATCAAAACCATTGATTTAAGACAAATACGCGATTTTTTTTTTTTGCAATTTTTGTTATTTCAAAAATTGTATTTTCACCTAAAAATTCAAAATTCGATACTAGAACTTAAAAATTCAAACTTAAACATGGTCTGCTTAAAATTTTGAATGCCTTTGCAGATATATGAATACTTAATTCTCATCTTCAAAATTATGTGCCGACTTTTGTCATCATTTTCCGCAAAATAAATTTGACCCCTGTCTTCAATAACACGGTATTTTTTCACTTTCCAATTTGGTCAGATTCTTTTAATCATATGCATTTGCTTCGCAAATGAATGTTTTTCATTGGATAATTTAACAGTTTTTCCTATTTATTATATTTTATGATAAATTGGAGTTCAAACTTGTGTATCGTTACTTTTGTTGACTAGTATATAAAACAGTTACCAGAAGGACGGAGATTTAAACAACAATAGGGCACTGCACGGCTTTTAAAAATGAGAAAAACCCATTCCGTATAGTAAACTGCCAAATGATGAAGTCACTTTAACTGGAAATGTCAGAAAATGAGGACGGAATTCTGGCTTCAACATTTGGAATATATCCGTGGTCATCTGTGAGACGAATAGTCCATAAAAATTCTGCATAAACCTGTGATGTACTACAGCTTGTACACAATACGATGATTTGCCTGTGCCATTATATATCACAAGTTTTATTACAGTACTATTTCAAAGAAACCCCTTTGTCAATAATAAAAACAGGGATTTATTTGATTCTTATGATAATACTATCAATACTATTTACATGGTAACTGTCGAAAAGAAAGGCAAAAGATATACCAATGGGATATTTAAACTCATAAGTCGAAAACGAACTGACAATGCCATGGCAAAAACTGAAAAACATCAAAAATACAAACAACAGTATACAAAACACAACATAGAAAACTAAATAATGAGCAACACAAATCCCATCAAATACCGGGGGTTATCTCAGGTGCTCCAGAAGGGTAAGCATGTCCAGTTTCACATGTGGCACCCGTCGTGTTGCTCATGTCAATACAAAACCGGTAATAAGTCTTAATGAATATGTAAAATTAATAACAAAATGTATTATTTCTACAGCTTACCCAGTCCATAGACATCATTACATTGAGTATCCTCGTATTGTATGGTCAGATTATGGTTTGGCAATAGTCCTTCGTTCTTAACGTCATCCACGGCAAGACTCACTGTAACAAAAATTTGTAAAATCATAAAAAAATTAGCACAAAGATAAAATATCAAAAATACCGAACTACAAGGAAAATTCAAAACGGAAAGTCCCTTATCAAATGGCAAAATCAAAAGCTCAAACAACTGTCATATTCCTGACTTGGTAATCATTTGGTCCATTTGTCGTAGCCATAATCACGTCCCCCTTTCCTCATCAGTCATATATCTACGAATATTTACAATTGTCGTGACAAATACAGTGGGTATATATCTACGAATGTTTACTTGTCGTGACAAATACAGTGGATATATATCTACGAATGTTTACTTGTCGTGATAAATACAGTGGGTATATATCTACGAATGTTTACTTATCATGACAAATTACGGTGGGTATATATCTACGAATGTTAACTTGTCGTGACAAATACAGTGGGTATATATCTACGAATGTTAACTTGTCGTGACAAATACAGTGGGTATATAGCTACGAATGTTAACTTGTCGTGACAAATACAGTGGGTATATATCTACGAATGTTTACTTGTAGGGGAAAAAATGGTGGGTATATATCTACGAATTTTTACTCATCGTGATCATACGGTAAAATAACAAAAATACCGAACTCCAAAGAAAATTCAAACGGAAAGTCCCATATCAAATGTCAAAATCAAAAGCTCAAACAACTGTCATATTTCTGTCATATTCCTGACTTGGTAAACATTTGGTCCATTTGTCGTAGCCATTATCGCGTCCCCCTTTCCTCATCAGTCATATATATCTACGAATTTTTACTTTTCGTGACAAATACTGTGGGTATATATCTACAAATGTTTATTTGTCGTGACAAATACAGTGGGTATATATCTACGAATGTTTACTTGTCGTGATAAATACAGTGGGTATATATCTACGAATGTTTACTTGTCATGACAAATTACGGTGGGTATATATCTACGAATGTTAACTTGTCGTGACAAATACAGTGGGTATATATCTACGAATGTTAACTTGTCGTGACAAATACAATGGGTATATAGCTACGAATGTTAACTTGTCGTGACAAATACAGTGGGTATATATCTACGAATGTTTACTTGTAGGGGAAAAAACGGTGGGTATATATCAACGAATTTTTACTCATCGTGATCATACGTATAATAACAAAAATACCGAACTCCAAATTAAATTCAAACGGAAAGTCCCTTATCAAATGGCAAAATCAAAAGCTCAAACAACTGTCATATTTCTGTCATATTCCTGACTTGGTAAACATTTGGTCCATTTGTCGTAGCCATAATCGCGTCCCCCTTTCCTCATCAGTCATATATATCTACGAATTTTTACTTGTCGTGACAAATACGGTGGGTATATATCTACAAATGTTTATTTGTCGTGACAAATACAGTGGGTATATATCTACGAATGTTTACTCGTCTTGACAAATACAGTGGGTATATATCTACGAATGTTTACTCGTCGTGACAAATACAGTGGGTATATATCTACGAATGTTTACACTTGTCGTGACAAATACAGTGGTATATATATCTACGAATGTTTACTTGTCTTGACAAATACGGTGGGTATATATCTACGAATTTTTACTCATCGTGACAAATACGGTTGGTAAATTTTGTGACCCAATATCAGCTTACCTTTCTGAGTACCCGAGTTTACCATGATGTTTAGGGGGAAGGTTCAAATTGCTCAGTTTACAGTTTTTGTGTAGCGTTTTGAGATCTGTAGTTTGTTATCCATGTTCCTCCTAAATTATTTTTACACTTCAAATATTTCAAATATTGGTCTCAAGATAAATTCCTTGCAATATAAGAACAAATTTTTATTATAGATTCTTAAGTATTACATTCTATCATGCCTCAAGATTTTCAATTATTTTCCGTTTATTAATTTAGGTTTTTCTTTGAAGTTAAATACCTAAAAAGGCGACATCAAACTATGTTTCTTTTGCAATTAGTTACCAATGAATTTCCCTTATGTATTCGTATTTCAACGTACTGAATTAAAATAAGTCTATACCTTCTCGGCTTTCGCTTAAATTCATAGAAATCGAAATTAACCTCTTGTTGTGGTCAATGACAGCGCAGAAAAATGTGGTGAACGACATCGTAGAAAAATATCAAAATATTTGTCCAAGAGGTATTTTTATGCTATAAACTACATATATCGAACGATGTAAGTCCTAGAACACGAATGGAAAATTCCAGACACCAGACGGCAAGATAATCAAACTGAGGGTAGTCATATATTACAAATCCTTCATGTCCATTCCGTGTTTGAGCTTCCTTTGCTTATCAGTCCAACATTCCAATGAATGTAAACACTTTAAAAAGTCGCTAGATGTTGGATATCTAAGCGGTCTAACTAAGATGTTAAGTTGAGCTATTTAAAAATAATCTAATACCGGAAAGAGTTCAAAAGTTCAGAAATCCCAGAAATCTGACTGTAAGATTTCCAATCTATAACGAGGCTCGTACAAGTCACAAACGAAAGGACATCTTACAAAAGAGTGTCTTGCACGCTTTTGCAATTTTTTGAGTCTTTTTTTCCTCCCCGTTCAACGTTTAAATATGGCAAGAAAATCAGCTTCAAGGTAAATCCAGAAAAGCGCCTCGGATTCACGAAATTAAAAGTGCTATTTCCATTTAACAACAAACAACATGCTATGTGAGATTGATTGATTGATTTTTTGCATGCTTGACGTCTAGTGGCAAATATTTTAAGGATATTCAGGACTAGAACAAATTATCAACTAATACAATAGAAAGTTTGTGCAAGGTATATCGACCAGGATGTAGGACAGGAACTTTTGACTTCCATTTAAACTTTAGGGAATATAATTAGAAAGGGGAAAAACAACAAGGTTGGATAACAAACTTGCGCGCTTGAGATCTAATTATTACAACTTGTATTTCCTTGTTTCTGTAATCACTTTAGTCGTTAGAGTTTTGATAAATTTCTGTTAGCAAATTGTTCGATTATGTTATTTCATTCATGGACGTGTCCAACAGTTGTATTTTGTATATAATACATTTTAACTGAACAATTCCAGTAAGCTAATTCAAAGTATTTATTTCAACATAAAAATAAGGAGACGTGGTATGATTGTCAATGAGACAACTATCTAACAAAGATCTAATTACGTAGATGTAAGTATAGGTCACCGTACGGCCTTCAACAATGAGCAAAACCTATACCATATAGTAATGTACAAAAGGCCCGACATGCATAAAGTAAAACAATTCAAACGCCATAGGATCTATGTTAATATAAAAATATGGAGATGTGGTATGATTGCCAATGAGACAACTATCCACCAAAGTTCAAATGAAGTGGATGTAAGCAATTATACTTAACCGTACGGCCTTCAACAATGAAAAAAACCCATACAGTATAGTCGGCTATAAAAGGCCCCAACATGAAAAATATGAAACAATTCAATTGAGAAAATTAACGACCTAACTTATAACATACAATTTACGAAAAACATATATGACAGACACGAAGCAACGCCAACCACTGAACTACAGGCTCCTGACTTTGGATAGGCACATAAAGAATGTGGCGGGGTTTAACATGTTTGAAGGCGCCAACCCTTCCCCAACCTGGGACACTTGTGTAACAGTACAACATAAGAACAAACTATAAAAATAGTTGAAAAGGGATTAACTCATCAGATCGATACAAAGCAGAAAAACATCTAACAAAAACACAGACCGGACGTGGCAGGGTATTTATACATCCATCCCAACACAAAAAAAAAAACACAAAGTATACAGTAAGGTTTTAATCACATACGTTTGACAAATATGTGTGCAACTATATTTTATTTTTAAAATTTACAAACAGTATGAAATTAAAATAAATCCTTCAAAACTTCGTATAAATAATCATATATACAAATATGTATGAGTTAAAAGACATTAAAAGAGAAATGGATTCAATGTCAATGAATGACAGTGACATATTATCTTAGAATAGAGGGCAGCATAATTACATAATACATAAAAAGGATAAAAAGAACTACTAAAAATATTGGACAATATTACATATGGTGTAGCATTCTACTTTTTTCTTGGTTATTACGATCACGAGATACAAAGGATATAAAGTATATGGACTCTATGTTTCTATTTATAAATTATATATATATTGACGGTCAATATTTAAAATCTTGCAAAACACTATGTTTCTGTTTATATAAATATTGACGGTCAATATTAAACAATAATTACCAAAAATATTGGACAGTAATATAGACCAAAATATGCTCTTAAACAACGAATAGTAACCACATTGACAAATATATAAGTGAATCTATTTTTCCATTCACTCGGTTGAACAATTTACAAATATTTTTTCCTATCTTTATGAAAAAAATTGGTGATATAGTAGCATAAAATATGTCTAAGATTCCCGGCATCAAGAAAAGTTAGTATGATTATATGATGAGTGTAATGTAACCAGTATCCCCCAAAAAGAAACAGTTGCATACAAATGTATATAACAGTTTAATAGAACATGGAAAATTGTAGCCTAGCTAGAGTTGAATATTAGTAAGTAAATTGCTTAATAGATGAAATAAGAAAGATAATATTCATTCACCCACGTCAACACATCGATTACCGATTTTTTTCCCATGGAAAGAAAGCTTAATATACCTTTTAATTATGGTATTCAATAACTATTTTTTATTATAAAAATTGCGTATAATTCAACATGTGTTCTATTTTTTGTCTCTCATTATTTCTTTGAGTCAAATTGATTAAAGATTCAATTTTCTTAACACCCATAGGATATGGCAGTAAACAATTTTTAAGATATGTGATGAAAATGCAAGATAAAAGATGCTTTTAATTAATATTTGATTGTTTCTTCTAAAGCAGGACTTTAAGAATATTTTTTAATATTCCAGTGTAATGGAAAGTCTAAAAGTACACACAGTGACGTATAATAAGCGACATCATTTGATACCCAAATTTCCGTAGCATTATTC